ATAGTCAAAGATGGTGACTTATCTTAAATTAGTCAAACTTTAACTAGTAAAAATAACTAATTAAAAGTGAAAACTACTATTTTATTAGTAAAAAATGCTGGTACTAATTCAAATAGTAGAATTTGACTATTTCATTTTAAGAGAGTAATCTATAATATACAATTATTAAAAAATACTCTGTGGAGAGAATAAAATGTTAAAGAAGAAGAAGAAGAAAAATTGCATAATTAATAGACTTAATGAAGTATTGGTTAGTAACATTTTAAAATAGTTCATCATTGTTACGATAAACAAGAATTCTTAAGAAAAAGGTACTACAATTTTATGCCAAAATTATGTAAGCTTTTATTGTATTTATATCAACAAGTGTACGTGATGTATAAATAAGATAATGTACAGGAAGACCCCACGTTATAATGCAACAATTGAACTGCATAATTTGTTTATAATATTTTATATAACCTAAATAAAAGTACGTATTATAAAGACTAAAGAAATACTTAATCTTGTCTATAATGATGTATGCATTATAATAATATTAAAGACCTTGGGTAACACAAAAAAGAGTATAAATTTCATGTGAAAAATACAATTTACACAAATATTGTTAAATTATTGTAATTAATATTTTCTCAGTCAAAAAAATGTTGAAATTGGGCTTAAAATAATGTATTAAGTTTCAACATGTAATTAATTGGGTTAGTTACAAATTTTTATAATGTATTTTAATATTAGGTATAGGTATATAATATTTTGAGTTTTCATTATTAATACAGTTTTTTACCAGTCTCTTTCTTGTCACTATAACTTTTACAACCAAATACAGAACAAACCAGCATTATGTTTTTATAATATTATTAAAACCGACTTTTTTTTCTTTTCATGCAAAAAAACACAAAAGTAAAGTTTTAACTGACAGTACGGCTCACACATGGCAGGCTTTACTTATGTAGGTACAATACACAATAATTAGAATTACATGTCCATTCTTTAAATATGTTTGTGTAGCCAAGACTACGAATAGTATGGCGTTAGGGCACCATTTTCAAGATACCCTGTATTTATTAGATTGGCCTAATCTGATTAGATGGGTCTGAAAATTTTTAAATATTAACTAGAGTAAATTTTTTGAAGGTTTCTGACGTGTTGAATCCAAATTTGACCTTAAAATTGCCTGATCACACCAATTTTACAATTTAAGGTTATTATTATTTATTTATTTTATTATTTATTTCATCACAAAAGAGAGTCAGAGACAAACCTTAAACGATGTGGATTACCAATGTAGTACTGCTACTTCATGTCTCTCTGGAAATTGGTGCCAGATTAAGCAAACAAAATATCTGCCCTGACGGCTGCAGCCGTCAGGGCAGATATTTTGTTTGCTTAATCTGGCACATGTGAATTATCGTATTTAATCGTACACTTTATGGTTTTTTTAATATTTTTTATCATATTCAAAATTTTTCTGCAGTAAAGTTAAAACTTTTAAATTTTTATTGAAATTAAAAAACTTTTGGAATTCTTTAAGCAAAGCTTGACGTTTAGCGCTATTAAAAAAAAATCCATAAATGTTTCGCGACAAATCTTCACACAACCTTGGTAGGCATTTACACGCTTCGCTTGCACAAAGATGTAGGGAATGGCAAATGTATTTTTGCACCATAATATCTGGGTTAGCAGCCATCAACTTGCTGGCAACAGACTTAGTTCTTCCAAACATCACGTTGCAGCCGCCAGATGCAAAACCAATAATATTTTGCAGGAAAATTTCGTTTGAAATTAATGCTGCTCAAATTTCATTGTACAGCCTTTCAGCCGTGGCACCTTCATTTGCCTTATCGGGCTCGTCGCCCGAAAATATGTGTATGAGTTTTCAGAATAACGTTGTAACTTTACCAAATTCAGGGTGAAAAAATCGCACACAGGCACACAAAGTTTTCAAAGTAGCAATATCGGTTGGCTCATCGATAATAAGACTGAACTTATTATTCCTCAACAATGTGACGATTTCCTTCTCGGAACAGCTTCCCAGGACATTCTTTGTGATTTGTGTTTGGTTCTACCCAGCGATATTTTTTAAGCGATTTTGGATTCAGGGAAACAGTCTTTTACAATTTTCGATAAATGTTCAACACAATTGAAAGAAATGTTATGCTCAGTCAAGAATCCGGTCAGTTTTACTTCAGCAAATCCAAAAGTGTTCTTGCTTTTTTGAATATAACCTTATTTGTTGCTTTCATTTTGCTTTCATGTTTTGCAGATTTTGCGTGATTTTTTATTACCGTTATTTCGGCGGTAATGTCTGCAGGCACGGCAGTGTGCTTTCGTTGAATCTGTGCAAAGGTGAAAATTTTTTAGTTTAAGCAGAGTTTACCTTAAATTTAAAAAAATGAGGTTACCTTTTGCTCCTATTAGCCACCCTTTAAATTGTGCGTCGGCCTCCCACCCTTGACGATAATTTTGAGTTCGGTTTTTTTGTTTCGTTTTGCTGTCTCCCCTTTTTAATTTTTTTAATTCAGGTGTGGAACCCCGCGGTGCTTCGACCTCGGAACTCGACATATTACCACCAAGTTTATACTTTAAAGTCCCAGAACAACTTAATAGTTCAAGACTGAAATTGACAAAAGTGTATCGTGTGTACGCACACATCATTATTACCCTGTTATTCTCACACTAGCTTCACAGTAGTCCAATTCGGAGAATTACAGAGCCTCGATTATTCCTGTTAAAAGCTCAAACAAGTCAATCCACTATCTACTTACATGGTTTTCAAAATTAAATTCGGTATTCTTAAAACTCTAAACTCAAATCAACATTAAAATAAGTGCTTTCTTAAAATTAGCGCAAACGGCAGCCCAATGTGTGAATTATCGTATATTTTACCATTATCGTACACATGGCATCGTACATCGTATTTATGGGAGATTTATCGTATGAATAGGATAATTATCGTTGATCTGGCAACGCTATTGGCCCCGCCCGAAGACGCAATGCTGCTGTAGCTTCTTCGGGCGGGGGTTTATCTTTAGGGCGACTTTTTTTTAAATGTAATATAAAATTAAGGGGCTTAGAATGAGGAACAATAGTACAATAATTTAATATAAATAATAATAATAATAATGTTTATAAAATATACATAAAATTAATAAAATAATTTATTAATAAAAAAAGTTTACATTTCTTAATTTGTAATTTGGTATAATAATAATTATTATTAGTCAACAATATTATTGTTATTTAAAATATATTACTCATCCAAACTTTAATAAATAACAAAGGTAATCTTATCAAAACGATAAAATTCTGGTGACTGTTCATAATTTCAGACTAGAAAATAATGTTATTATCAAAACTTAATACTGTTATAAAAACTACTACTAACACCTTAATTAATTACAATATTTTTATTTCATACTATAGGTATACGCTAAAGAAGTATGGGGTTTTTGGCAACGCGCGCGCCCTCTGGTGGACTTCGAATGCTTTGCGTGAATTTAAGAATTGTCAACAAATTTAAAGCACCGATTATACATCATTTTTAAATAAATAGGTAGTTTTTTTGCAAAAGAGATTAAGGCAGATGTCTTTTTAGTACTCGATTTTGTTGATTATTCCTTGTATCATTGATTAAGAAACTCAACGCTTAAATGCTTATATAGTTACGTTAGTTTGTGTATTTTATCAAAGGGATCATGATGAATTATTGTGTTTTTAATTGAGGAGCATCCGTGCAAAACCGGCAATATCCACTTTAATAAAATGTTGGGAAAATGGCAAAAACTCTCGGTTCCCTGGCCTTTACAGATGAAAGAAAAAGCAAACTTGAGTTTTGTGGGCTTTGTGGAAGTTGATTTATAAGACATACATTCGTTTTCAAAAACTTTATATTAAGGCCAAAATTTAAAAAAATGTTTTGTATATAGCCGGTTTTCCTCAAAAACCGAATAAAATGTGAAAAAAAAACCTTTATTGTTCAAAAATATTAACAAAATAAATTTAGTGCAAACATGAAAAAACAGAACAAATTTTAGTAGTAGTATCCACATATCCAAGCCACATGCTCATCATCATCATTATTTATGGGATATAGCCGGGTTTGCTATAAAAAGGCCGGTTTTGCTCCTAAAGGGTACCTTTTAAATGTGATTTTAACATGGATTTAGTCGGATTTTAACAGAATTATCTTGTTTGTCGATAGAAATGAACCCAAAGATGCGAAATAAAAAAAAAACAAAAACTGAATAAAATTGATTTAGCCGGTTTTGCACGGATGCTCCTCAATTGTAAATAAAATTCAAGAACTAAATCGTTGCATTATCATGTTTTGCCAAAGGATCCAATTCGGTAAGTACATTTGTTGGTGCAGAATTAACTAATGATAACTTTTCCTAATATAATTTATATTTAGGTTTGGACATTTTTAAGAAACATAACATTTTTATATTTGAGTTCTCTAAAAAACGCCGACAACTGCATTTTAAACCACAAAATATACCTACGAATTAATGGCAAAATAATATTATATATAATACATAATATAATTGTATTTTACCGTTGAGTGGAGACTTTAAAGAATTCTTAATCAACGCTTTTAATAATGCTAAATCCTGTTTAAATTTAGACAACTTATTTGTTTGACGATTTTACTGAATTGAAATGTTTACACTTTTCACGTTAATCACTACTAAAATGTGTATTTATTGTATCTAATGGGTACAATTTATATTTACAGATACTGTATGCAATTTATTCCTTCATTCAGATTAACACTGTTTATTGGAAAACCGGTAAAAACTCAACCCAGGATTTCCTCTCGAAATACACCCAACAACACAACAAATCGTGCAACGGTTTTTTTTTTGATATTTTTTAACATTTTCTGGCTTTATTCTCAAAAACACTCGTTTGTAACCTAAGCGTTTGACAGCTGATTATTAAAAGTTCTACTTTTGTTACGAACAGCCGAGTGGAGGCGCTACTAGCGATACTTGTTTAGCGTATAATCGCAAGCAATTAAATTATGTATCTTGTTCTTTTGACATTTCGTGACATTTGCCTGCAGTATGAAATAAAATTTTAAGCGATAATGTGCCAAATTTCTAACTTAACTAATTTAAGTCACTTTCTGGCCTTGTATCGTTAATTCCTACATCTAAAACTTCTTAGGCATCCGTTTCAATATCTTCATCATCAGCCTGCTCCTCAGGAGTCCTCAGATCAATAGCGAACTTCTTTGCAGGGAGATTGTCCCTCTTAACTCGAGCCCCGTAATCCTGGAAAGCTGCCGCCAGCGAAAAAGTCAACTCCCTGGCTTCCTGTCTTGAATTACATAAAAAAGTATGACAAACAAATGGAATCTCAGCTTTTGGGTTTATTGTTTCACATGTAGAAGTAAGGACTATAATTGTAAACACTCTGGTGTAGATCAGGTCCTGTACTCCGTAGGAAATGACGTCGACTCCGAACTGAACCGGGTCGCTTTTGTGTTTTTTGTTGGTTATGTCCACGAATTTGATGCCTTCCACGTTCACTTCGAGATCTAGTAGGGGAAGGATTTGGCCTTTTTCTCCGATGGATTTTGCCTGGGTTACTAAAGAGTCCACAGGCTTTCTCGTGTTTTTCATTCCATATAAACCTTTAACAGGATGGGTTCCTATGAAAAAAATAAATATTTTTAATTGCATTCATGAAATGTATATACAGGGTGAGTCATTTAACTTGAGGCTTTGAAATATCTCAGTTAGTATGCATTTTACGAAAAAATGTTTCAAATAAAAATTAAATGATTCTTTCATTTAAAGGATTATTGTACTATTTTTATTAAAAGTACCTCATTTAAGGTAAAAAAAACATTATTTTGTCAATTAATTAATTTAATCCTAATTGAGGTATAAAAAATGGTATTTAGTTATAAATAATAATTATTATTGAGGCATAAAGAAACTATTTATAGTTTAACATTATTTAATCAATTTAGTTAGAAGATTAATTTGCAAACAAAAAGACCTCCTTTCGTTAAGCAGTTATTCATAATGGATTTTTTAACAGTGGAATAAAAAATAGAAATGATTTTGATTTATGGAGCGTTTTCCGATAAAATTCGATCACGTACTTCATTTCACCGTACAGTAAAGCAGTTTACTACAAACGGGAGTGTTCAACCGAAATAAAGAGTTCGTCTCTCTCCATTTTTAGGTTCACCTGAAATTATGACATTTTAGCTTTATTTTTGTACTGAGGTTTATAAAAATTTGATTTTTAAACCAGTATTAATACAAAGTCTTTCTATATTATAAATTATATATTATGAGTGTTATAATATGAACAATATTATACGATTGAAAAAAAGGTTATTTACTTCGAGATTTACTTGTCAGATGTTTTTTATGATAGTTTTTTCAAGTTTATATTATTACCTATATTGTTATTATGAGATCGTCTCTCAGGCTAACTACCACCACACTGTGGAAATGAAACAACTCAAACAATCGTCATACTTGCCTAAACAAGAGGGTCCCAAAAACACCTTTTACACATTTACAACCCCTACCGAGTATGATTAAATGGATCCCTAAACACCATGTCCAAACATCTTCATTTTTACAGATAGATCCATAACTAAAATGTTGTCTGGAGCGGAGGTGTACTCTCAAAACCCATCAATACGTCTTGGCATATCACTGAGAACACAAGGACCAGAAAAACTGCCAATAGGCTCAAAACCTAGTTTGCCATTTTGGAATCTGCCTTGAATTCTCAAATAAAGAAATCAACCCACGAAAGACAAATAAACAGATGGGTTAACAAGTACTTACCGTCAGACCGGTTGGCAAAATATAGTCTGACAGGTTGGCAAAATATAGTCTGCAGTTCTACCACAAAAATCTTTCTGATCTTGTCGGAGTTATAACGGGTGTTACCCTAGATAGGAAGTTAAGTTGGAAATCACACGTCGACAAAGTTGTTGACAAATCGATTGCAACTTTCTGGCAGCTGCGCCGGGTGGTGGGAAAACGCTGGGGAGTAAATCCCAAAGTCCTTCACTGGATTTATACTGCTGTCATCAGACCGCAGATACATTATGGATCAGTGGTCTGGTGGCGCAGTGTGAGCAAAACCACCATCGCTCAAAAACTGAGCAAGATACAGAGACTGGCATGTCTCGGTATCACAGGCGCAATGAGGACTACTCCAACGATGGCATTAAAGGCCTTGCTGAGCTTGCCTAGTCTTTCCCTCTGGATAAAGAGAGAAGCAATGGCGAGCCATTTAAGGATGAGGGATGCCAATAATTGGTTAGGAAAAGGAATAACTTATGGTCATGAGGGCATCGCGGATATGGCTGGGAGGAAGGTCCCAATTAGCAGTATTAGAACGATGCCAGCAAAAGACCGCTTAAGTTTAAAAAATAAGTTTTCCCTCACGATACCAACAAGAGAGCAGTGGGAGAAAAAGGATGTACACTTTGCACAAAATGCACTAGTGTGCTACACTGATGGCTCTCGTATGGCGAGTACACTGTCTTCAGGGGCAGGTTTCTACGTGGAAGACAGGGATATCCAAAGGAGCTACCCGCTCGGAGGATATACCACTGTCTTTCAAGCGGAAGTGTTTGCCATACTTGAGGTTGCAAACTGTGAGGATATAAGAACAGGGAGTGAGACAGATATATACATCTGCTCAGATAGCCAAGCAGCTCTGAAAGCGCTTTGGGCAGCGAGAACCACATCGAAGTTGGTTCAAAAGTGTGAGGAAGCGCTGGAAAAGCTAGCAAGTACAAAAAGAGTGCATCTCGTATGGGTACCAGGTCATAGTGGGGTGGAAGGTAACGAACGGGCTGATGAGTTGGCCAGATTGGGATCTGAAACCCCCTGTGTAGGACCCGAACCAATTTTTGGAATTACGAGAAAGCAGGTCAAATCAGCCCTAAATAATTGGGCTGATAAAAGGGCGAACGAAAGCTGGAGAAGAAGCGGTGGCTGTAGGCAGACCAGGGATTTTCTGGTCACCCTAAGCAAACTCAAATCCATCTGGCTTCTAGGTAGGAGCCGAACCTCCTTGGGCCCACTTGTGAACATACTCACGGGTCATGGCCTAAGGAAACACCTCACGAGAATAGGGGCTGAAACCAGCCCCTCCTGTACCCAATGCGGAAGGGAGGATGAAACCTCCTTTCACTTCCTGGGACAATGTGAGGCCCTCGGCAGACTAAGGTATAAAATCTTTGGAGTGATGACACTCCAAAGGGAAGAGTTGGCCTCTCTTGCCTGGCAGGATATCCTGACCTTTATAAGAAGGTCTGGAAGATTCGAAAGGGCTTGTGTGGACGAAGAGGAGGATGAGGAGTAGTTTGGTTGGTTTAGGAGGGGCAGATAAAAAGGACCATAGAGTCTAATTGTCAGGCTTCGAGCCTACCCAACCGTACTACTACTATAACGGGTCACTGCAGAATCAACAAACACCTTCATACATTGGAAAAGTGGACAGTACTGGAAGAAAACGTGAGGCATATTATTTATGATTGCCCTGCTCTTTGAAATTCTTTTTGAAGCTTGGATGGTTGGAGAATCTCCAGTGGAGATCCATGGAAATGAGCAAAAATAATCAGGAAAAAAGATTTTTTGGAGGTAGTACAAAGGGCCCAATATAAATTCAACTAATCCATGCAAATTAAAACAATGTGTTAGATCAAATCTAAAATATTTTAAAAATTTCAATCATAACTATTTAGATATTTTATATATAAAAAAAGTATTTTTAATTGTTTCAAATATCAAACACCCTAAAGATTCTTTAGTAAAGAACAATATTTTTGTGGTATATATATACAGGGTGTCCGGGAAAAGGAGGTCAATCCGTTAACCATATATTCCTTGAGTTAAAACAATAAGACTTTCATAATACCATTTTTCAATTTAGAGCTTCATGTTCGATATACAGGGCGACAAAGTTTGAAATTTAAAACTGATTTTTTTAAATAATTCGAGTAATTAATAAGATATTAAGTTCAAATTTGGTACACTACTTCAACATAAATAGTTACATTTTTTGAGACCAACAAAACAAAAAACAATTGTCAAAAAAATCAAAATAGGGGGTTCCATTACTCACTGACTCCCCCTATTTTTTAGTACGTGCGCCAATGACTTCCAAACGGTATTTTTTCAGGTAATCAATTATTGTTAAAAAAAATTTGTCTCTTATAAAATTTTGATTAAATGATTTGTTTTAGAGATAATTTGTAAAGTATAGGTCAGTCCATATCAAATCAACTAAAAGGTTCTTCCCCCACCATCTCCGATTTTGATAATTTTTGGTAAATTTGTTTACCTCACTTAAAAACTCAAAAATTCCATATATGAATTTTTTTCGCTAGGTGGTTTTTGTTTTTATTGATTTTTGAAAATCAAAAAATTTCGATAAATTTGGGTCTTGCAAGTACTTACAAAAATAGCGATATCTCGTAAACTATTAAAAGTAGAAAGGTGAGTTATGGCTTATTTTAAAGGCCTATTAGAGACCTTTTTTATGATATATCACATGACCTAAATTTTTTCAAAAAAAAAATTTAATTTCGAAAATTTGATATGGACTGACCCATACTTTACAAATTATCTCTAAAACAAATCATTTTATCAAAATTTTATAAGAGACAAAAAATGTTCAACAATAATTGATTACTTGAAAAAATACCGTTTGGAAATCATTGGCGCACGTACTAAAAAATAGGGGGAGTCAGTGAATACTTGTTGGTCTCAAAAAATGTAACTATTTATGTTGAAGTAGTGTACCGAATTTAAACTTAATATCTTATCAATTACTCGAATTATTAAAAAAAATCAGTTTTAAATTTCAAACTTTGTCGCCCTGTATATCGAACATGAAGCTCTAAATTGAAAAATGGTATTATGAAAGTCTTATTGTTTTAACTCAAGGAATATATGGTTAACGGATTGACCTCCTTTTCCCGGACACCCTGTATTTAGTGTTAATTAATTTATTTAAATTGGTAAATATTTATGATAAATTATAACAAAATTAATAATCCAAACGATGTATTGATATCAGAAAAGCATACATTTACAAAATCTGTGGAAATTAAAAAAAAAGAAATAAAAAAAGGAAATTTAACAAAATTCTCTACAATCAGAAAAGAATAAAAAATTGAAAGTTTTTATTTTGAATAAAAATATTGACATAAAAATCCACTAAATTTTATATAAAGAATTTATATATAAAAAAAATAAAATCATAACAATTATAGATATGTACAGGGTGATCCCCTATAATGTCGCCCCCCTTTAACTTTTTTATTTTAAGTGTCCCAAAAAATTTAAAAGTGTGGTTATATAGGTACTAAAAAATACTTTTTTTCTATAAAGAAAATTGGAAAATTGATCAGTATACAGGGAAAAACAAAAAGTTTATTTTTTTTCAATGTATTTATTTTTCGATTCCTTGTAAAATTCTAAGCATATTTCATATAACATACCATATAGCTAAATTCAACCGTTTCTGAAATATTTAAATTATTTATAAGATAAGTAATAATTTAAAATAGTTTGTCTTTCTCTGTCTGAGTACGCCATTTTTACTTATTTAACAAGACATATTGACATAATGTCACTATAGTAATTTATTTTCAATAAAAATTTTGGTATACTGAGGCTTCTAATAGTTAAAAAAAAAATAATGATAACATTTCGAATGCGAATATTTCAGAAACGGTTGAGTTTAGGTATATGGTTTGTTATATGAATTATGCTCACAATTTTACAAGGAATCGAAAAATAAATTAATATATAGGGTGATCCATTGAAAAAAAATAAACTTTTTGTTTTTCCCTGTATATTAATCAATTTTCCATTTTTTTTATACATAGAAAAAAAGTATTTTTTAGTACCTACATAACCACAATTTTTTGGGACACTTATAAAAAAGTTAAAGGGGGGCGACATTATAGGGGATCACCCTGTACGTAACTACTATTCAGGTTTTATAAAAATATTTTTAATAAACGCTTTAAAAAATTAAAAAAACATAATTTCAAATAAAAAAAATTTAGGCATTAATAAAAAAATTAAGAGGTCTAAAATTAAAAATAATTATAAAAACGGGTAAATATAGTAAAAAAACTAACAAAAAATTAAAAACTACGCAATAATTATAAAATTTTATATCTCAAATATTAAATGTAAAAAATCAATACCAAACAAAATCTTTGTTTACGAGATAAGCTCATGTGGGAAATATTTAATATATATCAATATTTTATTTATTAGATTATACGCATACCTAAATATTTTACGTGGAACTTTTTGGGTAAATCCTTGGCAGAAATTTGTATCTCCGTATCAGTCATTGTTAAAAAATAACGAGATAACACTTCACACCATAAAAAATAAACACGAAGTATATAAAAATTATAATTTTTCGAAACGACGAAACAATAATACAGGTAGTTTTCCCGTCTCACATCCGCTTTTTTGAATGCTATATCCTGTACGCGCTGCTACGATTTTGAACTAACTGTAGGGCTCGCATGTCCCTTGACACCTGTTGCTGTTGATTGCTCCCCACTATGTTGTTGTTTTTAAAATAATAGATAAATAAAGGTGCAGTGCGCGTATCATCAAATGTACCTACAGCGAATTTAATTTGACCCGTATGTAAATATTTAGGATTGTCATGATATTTGCATATATGTTAATTATACATGAAATGAAATTAAAAAGATTTAAAGTATTTTTACAAGCAGTATATTTGCACTGTATTTTGTTGTAAATAAATCCATGTATAAGTAAATTTAACTCTGTCATTAATAATGACATAAATTTAACGAATCATTAGTATTTCCTGTTGGAATAATACAGTTATTTAATAGTTTTTTTAATATGTATTATAAAATTTGCACATCCAGAGTATTATAATATGGCATTGTTTCTTTAAAAATTTACAAGGTTAATTAAAAAATAAAAATGGTACATATAAAATGTTTCATAACATCATCATGTAAAAACTGATATAGCAAGAATAGTAGGTATGTTGTAAAACGAGTGTTATAATGACCCTTATTGTGATACCGATTTAGGAGTATCACAATAGGTCATTATAATACAAGTTTGTCATGCTACTTCGTCTATTTTAATCATAATCTATCTATCTATATATACAGTATTGGCCATAATTATAGGAACCACTGTAAAAAAAATCTAACTCTAAAACGCCTTTATTATTCTTTATGAAATTTTGGATAAAAATACTTCAACTTATATCTCAGTTTATGTGTTCGAGGGTTTTTCGAGAAAATATTTTTAAAGGCCTTTTATTTAATAATGAAAAAACGTTCGAAAAATAACTTTTAGGGAAAGTAAATAAAAAATATGCTGTTAAATACCGTATTTTTTTAGTATACCCTAAAAATTTTGTACAAATTAAACAAACTGTAACAAAGATACAGCGCTTTAAAGTCGGTAAAAATGGCCCCTTTTTGATTATTTTGCTGAAAAGTGGTCATTTCTGACGACTTTGAATCGCTGTATCTTTGTAACTGTTCATTTGATTTGTACAAAATTTTCAGGATATACTAACAAAAATACAGTCTTTAACAGCATATTTTTTATTTACTTAAAAAAAAATTCCCTAAAAGTTATTTTTCGAACGTTTTTTATTATTAAATAAAAGGGCCTAAAAATATTTTCTTGAAAGACCCTCGAACACGTAAACTGAGATTTAAGGTGAAGTTTTTTTATCCAAAATTTCTTAAAGAATAATAAAGGCGTTTTAGAGTTAGATTTTTTTACAGTGGTTCCAAGAATTATGGCCAATACTGTATACTATATAAAAATGAATCGCCGTGCGTTAGTCCTGCAAAAATTCGGAAATGGCTCAACCGATTTAAATAATTTTTGTTTTGTTTTGTTCGCCTCAATACAGGGGTGGTTAAAAAAAACATTAGGAAAAACCGAAAGAAACAGCCGGAAAATCGTAATTCGTACAATTTTGAATTAATTTGAATAGATGGCGTTCGTAGCTGCGCTTCAAATTAAATAACTATTAAACTCGGAAATGGCTTTAAATATTTTTTTGTTTTGTTCGCTTCAATACAGGCCCTGTATTACAGGGGTTATTTAAATTAAAAATACATTAGGAAAAACCTAAAGGAACAGCCGTGAAACTTTCCCTTTAAAACCAGTAACTCAAAAGAAAACATTTAAACAATACTATAGCAGTGAAGAAATAAAAATGTGTAAAAACAAATTAGATATTCTCCTTGTAATGAGCTCAGTGGATCAGAGATATGCAGAAGCATATAAATTAGTTAAAAAGAAATATAACAACTTACTGACCTAATCCAGAAAAAAATACTACGAAAATAAAATTAAACATGCCCAAAATAAGTCAAAAACAACATGGAATATAATTAAAGAACTTAAAGGAAAAGAGAAAGGTAGTGAGATTAAAGTTCCAGGGGATATTAAAGAAGTTTTAATGATTTTTAATGATTTTATTGTCAATGCGGCTCCCAGGTTGGTTTCGAACCTGTCGCGAGAGCAGTTTTCCTGTAGAATTGAAATAAACGGAAGATCATTTTATGTTGAACCCCTGAGTATGAATAATGTTGTGAATATTATTCATAAACTTAAAAACAAGTCATTAAGCGGGTATGATAAAATACCAGCAACTGTTATAAAGTTTTGTGTGTTTGAATTGTCAGAAATTTTATGTTAGCTTATTAATAATTCTTTTAATAACGGAATTTTTCCAGATATACTCAAAGTTGCAGTTGTTAGACCGTTGTACAAGAAGGGTACATCTGTTGAGAATTACAGACCCATTAGCTTGCTGTCTACATTCTCAAAGATTTTGGGGGCGGCAATGTGTGAAAAGCTCGTGAGGTTTTTCAATGGGTGCTCTTTGTTTAGCCGGGCCCAGCATGGTTTTCTGAGGGGTAGATCGATTGAGACTGCAGTGTTCGATTTTCTTCAAAAAATAGTTGGAAATTTTGAAAATAAAATGCTTTCATTAGGGATTTTTCTAGACTTGTCTAAAGCTTATGACACCTTAGATCACGACATATTAATAAGCAAATTGTACAACTATGGTGTAAGGGGGTTACCACTGCAGTGGTTTCGAACGTACCTCTCGGGAAGAGGTCAAAAGGTTGTTGCTGAGAGGGATTCACAAGTGTTTAGTTCCTCATGTCAATATTTTAAGACAGGTATACCACAAGGCAGCATTGCTGGACTTTTGTTATTTATTATATATATAAATAATTAGGGGACTGCTTGGTGAATGATTTTTTAATACACTACATATGCTGATGACAGCAATGTCATTACAGAGAGCAAAACCTTTGAGGGTCTGATGGATAGCGCAGGGGTGGTGTTGCGCGGTCTTGTACAAAGGTTTAACAAAAATAAACTGGTATTAAATTCAGACAAATCTAATTTTGTTATTTTTTAAACAAACAATACTAAAGTAAATGTACCTGAACAAACTGTGATAAACAATGAACTTGTGTCCTAAAAGATGTAAAAGATACAAAGTTTTCAACATATCTGACAAGATAAACAAAGTTTTGTATAGTAAATTTAGACAATTAAAAGTTCTAACTGTTAGTGGTGTTTAAATCTATCAATGTTTAATGTTTTTTTTCAAGAACATCAGTTTGTTCCAAAAATATAAAAAAGTTATTTGTTATCATACTCGTTCATTTGATTAAATGTATCCTATTCACAGGCTTACAGCCACAGAAAAAAATGTTTTTTATATGTGTATTAATTTATTCATCAATCATTTACCTAATAGTATAAAGGTTCTAAGTTCCTGTAATACTTTTAAATGTAAAGTTTTTGAATTTCTTGTAGAGTCTGAACCATATTGTATAAATGAATATTTACCAAATGTTTAGATCCATTTTTCTGTCTTTGACATCTATTTCTTAAATGTAATTTTATATAACTTAAATGTACCTTTGCTTTTTATGAAATAAAGATTATATTATTATTATTATTAAATCAAAATTCCTACAACTTTGCATTAATTTGAATATATGGCGTTCGTAGCTGCGCTTCAGATTAAATGAATAAACATAACCAAAAATTTATTCATTCAATTGTTTTAGCGAGAAATTAGTTTAAATAGTAAAGTTCTCAATTGTTTAAATAGTAAAGTTCTCAAGGTACATAAGTTTGACAGATTTGAGCGAATTGGAGTTGAAAGGCTCATAAGGATTGATGATTATATTCGCTTATAAAGAATTTTAGGTGGAACGAAGTTTACCGGGTTATCTAGTCTATCAATAAAATTGAATAAGTATTTAAAAAAATAGTAATTATTTTTCACGTTACTAGGTTCAACCTAGTAGGTTGGCACAATTGACGTAAAGCGAAATGTAACCTTCCAATTTTCTTCCGCACCAACATATGCACAACTTCACCTGTGCTTGCTGTATGCGAATGTCCATCACATCACACACCGATGGTTTCAGTGACCCTCCACGAAATTGCTCCGGGCTGGACTATACGCCCAAAGGGCTAAGAAAGCTGGGGACCGGAAAAGTAGACCTTTTGGTTTCTGGGGAAAATAACGCCTACCCAAACCTACGACGCGGAATCTCTTTAGACCGGAAAGTTTAGTAATACCACTAGCATTTGCTGGTTATGCTTGCGGCTGGGTGTTGTTATTTGGCTGTGGGGGCCTAACGTTTATTTGTCGTGTACTGCTTCTTCTTCTTTTGTGTCCATATCCTCTTCCCCTTTCGCGTCGGATATTCCGGTATGGGTAGCTAGCTTCAAGAAAGATTCGACTGCTCATTCCAAGTACTGAATTGATAGAAGATTTAGCTGTATTGAGCCAGTCGTTATTTACTAAGCTAGGAAGTTAGGAAGTAGATAAGCCCAATTTTTTTTTACCCCACTGTGCGATACCATTACTTGTCTTTAGTACCGAAGTATTACTGTCCATGGACGTGCATGTCGGTTTGTTAAAAATAAGCAGCTGACTTCAACGAAGATTAAACTGGTTTTTCCAAGTACTGACTTTAAAGAAGATTGAGGCTTATTCAGCCGGTCGTTAAAATGTAGGAAACAAACAATACATACATTATTTTACCCCACTGTGCGAAGATCGTTAACTTGTAAATAGGCCTATCACTATGTTTACCACGAATGCAATTCATTGCGTTTTGAGACGCTGTTTGTTTATTTTGTGTAGCATACCCGCTGCATTTTTTGTTTTATTTCCAATTTAATAGAAGAAAAACATACTATGTTTTTATTACATGTAGACTACATGATGTAGTGCACAGCCCTATTTTAATATTTTTAAGTTTTAATTCGCACTTTTGTTTTTAAACTGTAGTCCTTGATTATTTTCGATTACGATTCATGGAAACGCCTTAGTTATTAAAGTTATTTGTCTATTTCGTTGCCTTTAGGAGATTTTCACAGTTTACATTTACTTCTTAGGAATTTATTTTCTATTTATATTAATTAAGCCTATAATTTTGATAAACAAACACAGAAAGACGGGTTTTAACACATCGTTAAATGGAGCTCAAAAGAGCCTAAAATAAAAAAATCCAAATGTCGATGCTTCTAAGGGGAGTTCTTTCTAGCACTGAAAACGTTGATTATGTATTTCGGTTAAAAAGTATCTTTGTGCTGACTCAAAGTTTGAAGGCGTCGGCGTAGCGGAGGGCTACAATGAGCGAAGCGAATTGCATGCAATATCTTATTTCCAAAGTACATTTTAATTTGTAAAACAATACATAAAACGTATAATTAAATCGGTGAGAATACACTCAGAGAAATATCATGTCATGAAAAGCATATGAAATTATATTAATTTAATTAATCGGGTAAATTTGATTCAAGTAGTAAATATTGTAGTTTTACATTCATTTACCAACAGTTTTACAATGTTTTTAAACACTTTTAAAGTGTACCCTCTTTAAAATATATATACAAAAAGAAATCTAGTTATTTAATTGCCTTTCTAAACGTTGCAAAGCGTTGTTTCAAAAATATTAAGTATTATACAATTGTTATACACCTATTAATTTAATGGGACACACCAATGACGCCAAAACATATTTTAATCCCTTTGAAATATTATCGTTTTGAATGATTTTACAACATTTTTTCTCTTAGTGTAAGAACAGCACAAGTCCAAAAATTTAATATTTACAAGTCATTTTCTAAAATCAATTTTAAAGTTTAAAATACATTTTTGTGAGAAGATCATTGTACAGAATATGAATATTATATTTATTAAAATAGTTATTATACGGCTGAAGGACTACGGTCAATAGCCTTTGAACTTGGTTTTAGTTCAATAAAGCATTATTATTATTATTAGTTATTATATTCTCACAAAAATGCATTTAGAACTGTAAAAATGCTTTTTTTTAATATTTGTTCAAAATTTTAACTTTTGGACTTGGACTACTGTTCTCACCGATTAATTATAATAATAATTGTTAAAAGTGTAAAGTAAGCTTAGATAATCTGACAATATCTTGACAACTATGGTTAAATTTTGGATTGGTCTAGTTTATAAATAATTTATTTTACTCCCTAAATCAATTACTTTTAACGAGTGTTAAAAACAATGTTTAAATTATGGACCGATTCAAGATAATAGTATATTATGAATTATACGAGAAATAATGCAGGAGGTTTGCATCTCAAGTCGCCAGACGAGAGACGAAATAATAATGTAATGAAAAATAATAATAAATCATTCTAGAATGTAATTAAGCTCTTTGTATCAATCAGTGGATGTAAATTCAAAAACAAGTCTAGCCTTACTGAACAACTGCATTCGCGTATTATACGCGAATGCAGTTGTTCAGTAAGGCTAGACTTGTTTTTGAATTTACATCCACTGAATGATACAAAGAGCTTAATTTTAAAAGTAGGGTAAATAGAAAAGTGCAAAAACACAGCGTACTCGCGCTTCTTTGTATGGTGACAACTAGATGTGTACTGAATTAGACGTTCGACGCGTATTCTGTTTCCGTATTCGTATAATCTAACATTTGCATCCGTATCGGCATCCGCAACCTTTTAATGTAAACCTAAAAAGTTGTGGAGCAGATACAGACGTTAGATGATGCGGATACGGATACAGACGCCCCTAGGGGTGTGCCCTGGTATAACATGGCATCCAAGGAGTTCTGGACTTTTTTCAATGGGAAAAGTTGGGTTTACAACAACAAATAGATAATTTTTCGCTGGGTTCTTGATGAAAATAAATAAAAAACAATTTATTATGAAATTTTTAATGGCTCCACCAAGGATGATTAGCGTTAGCACATGCTGCTCCAGGGACATTGCGGAAATGATAGCCGCGAACAGCTCCTTCCCTTCTCCAATTGACCAAATTATGATGATTATCGTAAAATCGTATCGATAACAAAAAGTCAGTTGGTCTTCGCGAATTCGGCAATAGAGAATATAGCACTACCAGAGTCCATTGTATGTGACCACTTCCGTTCACCTCTGTAAGGTAATCTCGAAGCATTGCCTCTACTTCATACCAACCAGGTTGAGGTATTACAACTCCAGCTACGTTAACCGCCCGATTCACCATAGAGCTTTGGGGAACAAAATTATATGATACACCTGGACCACCTAAAGAGGATGCTAAAAGGTGACCTGCTTCATCGTCATTTTCTCTGTCCATTTGTCGCAAATGTTCACGTACATTTGAAGTAATTATAGGATCTCTTCTAACAGCCATATGAGTATAATGTATTTCAGCTCTCATAGAAGCTGTTAAACCAATGGGGCTTGCATGATTAGCATCTGCTGAAACTTCATATGTCGATACCGACCTTAGAGCAAAATCTGAGTTGGAAAAAGTCATTGTATTAAATTTATTATCGTCGTTTTCAATATAATTTGCATATTCTTCAATGGAATTAAGTCCTCCAGTGCCGTTATTATTTTGTCGTTTTGTTCTTCTTAAAATTGTATTACCACTACAATATTGTTCCCTTGTGGTAGTTATAATAGGAAATTTGTATCTACCTTCAACGGTAAATGGAAAAGAAATATGTTTTGTACTTCCATGTCCAGTCTTAATTTCACCCAATTTAATTTTACCACAATTAATAAAACCAATAATAGTTAAAAATTTCAAAATTCTCAAATAAAACATTTTAAAAATTTCAACTCTGGTTGAATTTTAAGCAATTTATATAGTTGCCTTTCGCATTATTTATTTCAAAACATTCATAATTTTGAATATTTTTTAATAAATACATCCGTTTTTTAAATACGAGGGTTATTTGATAAGTCAGTGACCCTCCTTCGGTCAACTGCCATCTACGTATAAACTACTGTAAAACTTTCAGCAGGCTGTGCTATTTAGTTTGTATCATAGATAACAGCCATTGGAAGCAGATAATTTTTTTGAATTTTAACTAAAATGGAAAAAACTTAATTTCCTGTGCTGTTATAGTATTATTTCAATAGTTAAGAAGTGGTTTACTGAGTTTCGTTGTAATCGTACCAGCACAAGTGACGCCGAACATTTAGGTCGCCAGAAATCATCGATAAAACCCATGGAATGATATTGGATGATCGATGAATAAAAGTGTGTGAGGTGGCTAATGCTGTAAGCATTTCAAATAAACGGGTACATCATATTTTACATTAATATTTGGACACAAAAAAGCTATCCGCGCGATTGCGTACACTTAACCATGTTCAACCGCAATCCAAACAAGTTTTTGCGCCGTTTTATTACCGTAGACGAAACATGGATACATTAAACCATACACAGTAAAAAATTTTGCCCGTGTAAATTTTTTAGTGTAGGGGTAAGAATATTAGAGTTACACTACAAAATACACTAGGTAGCATTTAGTGCTTATTAACTTTATTAAACACATTTAAAGAATATGAACATTACACATGGTACATTCACACTATTTATTATTAAAATAAATCAAAAGGGTAGAAAAACTTAATGCGAGTGTTTATTACCCCTTAATGTGTTAAATAGTGACAAAATGTACACTATAGTGTATACAGTGCATGTCAATTTCTTTGTTTGTTTTGATGTTACTAAGACCTCTCTTTTCTTTACACTACTAGTGCACATTGTATCACAATTAAAGTTAAATTACACCAATAGTGGCAAAATAGACTGAAAAAACTGGTAATAACTGAAATGCTTTTTAAAATGTTTGGTTGGGATACCGCGTTTTGGAAGTGTGGCATTTTTGTTCAGTTAGATTTTAATTACGGTGAATCCATAAGAGGACATTCTTATTTTTTGGTAAGTATTATACTTTAAGCCTTAATACTCAATAAATACCAATATGTTAAAAGGATGTTCATACCCGACCTATAATATAAATCAATAATTTACGGAATTAGGTCGGGTACTTGTAAAATTATTAATATAAATACATACACACTTGATTTACTTTTTATTTTCAAGCGTAATGGTTGTTATATTAACCTATACCTACATTTTTATTAATATTATGGAAAATTTGTACACGTGTGGTAAATCCCCGACATACAGCCGCCTGACGCCTCTCTACCAATGGAATCACCCATTTTTTATAACACAAAAATGAATTACTGATGAATTCTCAAGATAATTCATTGCTTACAAGTTGACAGCCATTAAAACTTTTACGTTTTAAGGAACCATTTTGCTTAAGCCAGCCATACGACTCAAATATAAAATTATATTTTAAAAGGCACCGATTTTGATAATTGGTTTCAAATAAATGTTTCTCTTTATTTACCTTTTCGTTTTATTCACTACCACCAATAGGTTTTACTGAAATAATAGTGCACATGTTAATTTACACTAGAAGTTTGCACTAAAAGAGTAAAAGTACCTTTCTAAAATTAAAACTTTTCCAAAGCAGTGTTAATTTACACTGAACAAAAGTGGGATTTTACCCAGGAAGTGTAGAAGTACAGGATTTTAGGTAAATTAACACTTTTTAATACAGTGTAAAATTACTTTATCCTCAGTGCTATAGGGTTAAATCATACTTGCTTACTTGGGGAAAATTACACTACAAATTAACTCTAATTGTAGTGTTATAAAATAACACTATTAGTGTGGACCTGTGTGCACTTTAATTAGTGTTGCTTAGAGTTGATTTTTTTTTATGTGTACCAGAGACCAACGAACAATAGATTCTCCAGGTGAATGTGCACCAAAGAAGGCCAAGGTGGGTCTGTGACCACAGTTTTTTGGGATGCACGCGGTATTATTTACATAGATTACCTTAAAAAGTGTAAAACTATCAACGGCGAATATTATTCAGAGATTTTGGACAGATTCGACATTGATTTGAAACAGAAACGACCGCATTTGGCGAAGAAAAAAGTGCTTTTCCATCAAGATAATGCACAGGTTCTACGAACTGCTACCCAATCCAGCATATTCTCCAGATTTAGCCCCCTGTGACTATTTTCTGTTTCCAAACCTGTGGTGGTAAGAGATTTGGGTCGGATGAAGAGGTCACTGAAACAAACGCGAGAAAACCTATTATTTGGTTGGAATAAAAAAGTTGGAAAAACGCTGAACTAAATGTATCGAGCTAAAAGGAGACTATCTTAGAAATAAAACGTTTATTTGCCGATAAAATGTTTTTTTATTCAAAAAGTCACTGACGTCTCAAACCACCCTCGTATGTTATTTGATGAATTAATTGGGTCAAGACAATAATGCGTCATTAGATTAAATCTAATGACCCATTATTGTCTTGATTTTGTTCTTTGACCTTTTATGAAGTTGTATGTAGAATAAAAATTGTGTTATTTTAACATTGCATCTTGTTTGGCACTTTAATACGAAACGTATGCTTTATATTTTGAAGCAAAAATATTGTATTTTCTCAGAGTTTAGGAGTTGAGCATTGATGAGCTGAGCTAATATTATCATATAGTGATGTCAGCACTGACATCACTATATGATAATATTAGCTCAGCTCATCAATATAAAACGTATGTTCCATATTTTAAAGCAGAAATATTAGCTCCTCTGAAGAATATTTAGTATAATAATTTTTTTTAACATGCGTCTACACTTCACGACAATCACGTAGGTTTAAAGAAGAGATGATAGCATTTTCAGAACAGAATACTGTACAAAAAAGGGAACCACCCGGTGATAGAGGCTGTCTTTTCCTGTGTATGTTCTATTTTCTTCCATATGATTTTAAATATGTTCTATAATTGTTACAATAACAGCGTCTGCTGGGTGTTGTAATAAAATTACTAATAACTCTTGCTGGTCATTGATGACTATAATAGACAATAATTGTCTTTGATACGTCCAAATTAAAAACAGAGTAATATTTCTAAGACTACATAAAATTTTTCTAGAGTATACAAATAAGTTACTTGTACACACAATGTTCATAAAAAAATTTATACTTGTCTACTGGATTGCAGTATGTCACATTTTAGATACTGGCTGCAACCGATTATCTTCCAGCAATCAGACCATTTTTTAGCTCTAAATTATCGAAAATAATCTTTTTTGGTCTTAATATGTAATTGATGTCGTCATTCTCACGTTCTTGCTACATGCTTAGGTGATTTCAACGTTTTGCATATGATTACCACTTTAAAGTTTTCTTCTTCAAAATAAGACATGTTTACAAAAAATTGCCATTGTAAAAAAATAAATGTGTAGTTTTAAACAAATTATTCTGGTTAGTACCGCACCAAATATAATTGGTTTCAGGTGACCAGAAATAATAAAGAAATTAATTAAGGCCTCTAGTTAAATAATTATTAGATCTGCCAAGTTTAAGGATTTTTATATTTTATTTCATTGGCACATATTTCATCGGGGCGTGCTTATATTTCGAGCTATGTCACCCATGCTTGACAGTAAAATTTTATTCCTAGTAATTTTATGGCTTCGGATTATTTTAATTTTAGTACTCAGTGTCGGTTAAATGTCCAGTTTCAGAGAAAGCAAAGATGCAGGAAAGACACAAGGATAGAAAGTAAAGAGTAGGTAGTAAAGTTTTGCTTAATAAGTTTTGGCCACTCCTCGTTATAATAACGTAATTACAATGTGATATAAATGTGTCTGTATAAAATTCAAGAACATTATTGGAATGTAACTGAAACTAAAAAATGGTTTGCCATTTTAGTCACTTCCACGTATATTAGAACCGATTTGGCAATACACTTTACAGTTCCAAGTAAAGGGCCTCATTTTTAAAGAAATAAGGTCCAATCAAGCCACCAGCGTGTAAACCGCACCAAACTGTACATTTTTCTAAATGCAATGGGTCTGTAGAATCTCTTCTGGATTTGCATCACTCCATATCCGGCAATTCTGTTTATTAACAAACCCATTGAGCCAAAAATGTGCCTCATCGCTGAACACAATTTTGCGATAAAACAATGGGTCAGCTTGCTCTAAAGCCCAATCAGTGAAAGAACGACGCAAACGATGGTCTTGTGGCTTCAACCACGTCCACGTGGTGGACGGACAAAGCCCCAACTGCTGCGATCGACGGCGAATCGATAATTTAGAATTTTCTTGCACACTTTCGTTTACCGCAGCAATATTTTCTTCAGTACGCACATTCTTTTAATGTAATGCTGTTTTTACATCCTTTAGAGAGAGTGTGGTTCTAAATCTATCGACAGTGTGACGGATGGCTTGCTCAGATGGACGATTATGTGCACCGTAAAATTCACGAAGACGTCTATGTGTTTCGCGAATTGAGGAATGACTTTCAAAGTAAATTTTGATAATTTGATAACGTTGTTCCAGCGTGAGTCTATTCATAATGATTTGCCACACTATACCATAGATAACAAAGCCTATACTAAATACAAATGTCACTAATATCGCGCAAAATGACGTATGATTCCAAAGAAATTACGATCTGAAGTTCTATCATTCTTAAAAAAACACCCTTTATAAGTGGCTGACACGTTTTATCAACTAAAAATGCAACATGCATATAAAACGTCACTTTTAAAATAGTGGACTTAATACAGTTTGGCTCTGGGGTATAAATATGTATATAATAATAATTATTATAAACTTTAATTTTACATAAAAACTGGACATATCTTACCGAGTTAATACAAGTACATTTGGCAATACAGACATGCATGAATGTTGATTTTGAAACTTTGGCAATTTCCTATTTACTGAATACTTGTTATAACTCAAATTTTACTTGTAAACAATACTTTCTTTTTTGTTTTGGTACTGTACCTTAAGGTATTATAATTAGCCCATGGAGTTTTCTTTAGAAGTTGGCCCGTCAATATTAACGAATTTCACGATATTTCTTCTTGCACTTCACTAAAATGGCAACTTAAAACAAGCTTTTGCCTTTTATCTACTAATACTTATTTCCTAAAAAAACATATTTACAGCTTTCAAACAGTTTTTCGTAGGTACCTACAATATTTATTTTTGATAGCTTAAAATATGGCTTTAAAACAAATGAAAATCATGCAAAAATTTGATTGCTATAGGAAACCATCTCGTCGCCTTTGCGAGATGGTTTCCTATCGTATATTTTGTATATTTTAAAATTATTGATAGTTCAAAGTCTTTCTAGCGATAGGCACCTGTCAGTACATCTGCAATGTCTACTATAGTATTTATTATGTAAAGAAAGCACCTGTTTTAATCTAACTAAATAAATTACTTTCAATTCAACAGGTGTTAAGCGAAAGAAGTTTGTCTAAAATTGATTGAATTTGCTTTGATAGCCACCCAATGCCACATCATGGATTTTTAGATATTTTTAAAGAAGATTTTGGTAAAAAATTAACTTTCTGGTCTGTGTAGTTTTTTTGTACAGTTAGATTCAAGAAATATATGGGTGATTCTACAAAAGTTGGACAACTTGATATCAGTCAATAGAGTAGGTATTTTAATATTTTTTGTAAATATTTTAATATATTACAAAAGATCCAGTTTGTTTAACTTTTCCACCCAATTTTAATGTATTTTTTCAAAAGTACATTTGTAGAAAAACATAATAAATATTGAAAACATCAGTACCTTGGCGTGTCACAACTCCTGAATCAAATATTGTGATTTTATTTTAAAATATATTCAATTTATCTTAAATTTTTCAATTTCACTACAAACTATTAAATAATGTGTTTTTTATATTTTATCATAGATTCGAATAATAGCAATTTTTAAAAAAATGATATTTTTTTTACTTACTTTTACCCGTCAGTTCTGTGTTTAATGTTAAAATTCAAAATTCCTGCGAAATATTGAAGTTTAAACGTCAAGCCCTCGTTTTAACTCAAGTGTTGGTAAAAAATTACCTACAGAGCCCGCCCTTTGCACGACAGTCATCTTGAAAACAATGCAAGCGGCGAAGTTGTGGTGAATGCACGTATAGTTCCAGTCAAAATTTCAGTAGGTACTGTGGTGGGTAGTTATTTTCTTACGTATATATATTTCATTGTAATTTATTTAAGGCTACATGTGATTTGTTGTTAAGTAGCATCCACTAATAACAAATATCAGTAAAATACTTAATTCCGAATTATAATCTCAAATTTGTATCCATTTCGTCAGTTCCATGTTCGATGTTTCGCAAACTTCATTTTTTTTTCGCAAACTTCAATTTAAATTCTGCTTGCGCAGAACTTGTTTGTTTATTGTCATTATAAACTCATATAAATTTGGTGTCGATGCCATATCTAATAATTGAGATATCGGTATACCCAAAATCCACCAGCCGCCACTGATGGGTGGTATTATTTGATTTTAAGATATTTAATGTATAAAATGCTCAAAGTTGCAATAAATCTTATATTTTCCAATAAATTATGTATTTAATTAGTATGTTGGTATACTCGTGACTTCCTTTGCATTCAAATTTAGGAAACACAGATATTTCAGAAACTGGCCCGGTCTGGAACAGTATATTAATTATATTATCTATGTTCTCATAACAAAATACTGTTTTTCTCCGAAAAGTATATTTATATATTATTTATAAACAAAATGAGGTTAAAAGTTGCCCAACTTTTGTAGAATCACCCATATCCCTATTATGTTTTTAAACTAAACGACTCTAGCGTCCAAACGGGAGCAATTTTGAGCTCAGATTCGTGATTTTATTTGAAATTTAAAGTAATAAGAAAAAATGCATAATGGTTCATAAAAAACTGACATAACATAATCTAATATTTAATATAAAAACCACAAAATAAGCATATATGACCACAATAATAATAAATAACAATTGCAACAACTCGGAGTATGTAATCACTCAAAATACACCTTGTATGCAATTACCGACAAAACCAGCAGCGATTTCAATGAATCACACGGTGCGCAGAGCGCCATGAACGAAACAACAAAACAACGCCCCGACATCTAGATAGTACTAACATAAATGCAGTAATGGCACACTTGATCCCCGACGAAGTGCTGAAAACGCTGAAATGCTCGATTTGCTGCAAATATTTATCGGTTAAACCTATCAAAGTGTACCCTGATAGAAAAACGAAGTGCGGAAGGTGCTCGGAGGAGGACGATAACGGCGTAGTGTCTTTGTACGAGAGCATCGTCGAAAATAAGCTGTTCAGGTGCGTTAACCGATACGAAGGATGCAATTATGTGTATACTTGCGACGATATGCGCCTGCACGAGGTGGATTGCAAAGGTGGCCAGTACACCTGTTGCCTTTGTTCTCATTTTACAGGTAACTATAACAACGAAAAAGATAGGTACCTATATGTACAGTCAGAGAAAATAGTAATGCACTTTTCATTTTATAAGCATAATTTTGGTTTTGGGTTATTTAAAATTTCAATTTAAATTTTTCCAAGTAAAAATTTTAGGTTTACATTAAATGTGAAATTTTATAAATATTTTCAATGTATTGAAAGGCAAAATTTACTAACTAACTTCTGTATTAAACAATATTATTTCCAATTAATTTTTGCAAAAATTTCTAACTGTCTTTTTTTAATAAAATTAATTTCTTAATCAACATCTTACAGTCGAGACGTAATAGTTTCTCCGCTATGAACTATAAACAATTATACAGTGCATAGTCAGTGCATTTAAAACCAAATCTAAAAGTTGAAAAGCGCGAAGTGAACTGCCACCCCACCTGTCGAAGTCACGGAACCACCCACCTGAACAGGTAGTTCATCGCTGCATAAACCTGGAAGAAACCAATTAAAAGGGGACAAGGAGCCATATTCAGATACGTTTTTAATATTTTAACTTCGCTATTTGCATAAATAAGAATTTACCGAGCCTACGGGTGTGTTTATACCTTCCCAAGTGACAAATCCGTAGAAATCAACAAGAAAGAATAAAAGAGTTAAACAGGGATATCGAACCACTACATTAAATAGACCAAAGATAACGAATGCACAGGCAGTATAGGACGTGATAAGTAGTACTTACAGTTGTACAATATTTAAATACAGTGCGAGATTTAGTTCTTACACACTCCAAACTACTGCCTAGAGCATGTAAGTCTATTCTTACATCTAACCCTAAGGGAAAAACAAAAAAGAAAAGAAATATCTAACAAAAATAAAAATAAAACAAAAATAATCATATAGCTACATAAATAATAAGTTATCTAACTAAGCGTCAATACATAATATTTCTGTGCAATTATCTTTTTACTAGTGTACCTACATAACTAGTGAAGAAGGAAACACGTAAAAAAATTGGATAAAGAGAGACGAACTTAATAAAAACTATGTATATTCAGGCGTTTTTTAAAACACTTTCACGGATTTGGCTTTTGAATTGATGAATTTTTAAGTTAAAAGGGTTAAATTTTAATTTATTAAATAATTTGGCTATTTGATACGAAAATGATAGTTTAAGCAATTCAGTGCTATGATTTGGAAATGCAAGGGAGTCCTTATGACGCAAATTCAAATTGTGAATCTCTGAACGAAATTTAACTTTAGTGTAGAGGTAAGTAGGTTTTTGGTAAACTAGAATTTTAAAAAATGTAACTGCAGAATGTAGGTACCTACGATCTTCCATATTTAACCAATCTGTATGCTTAAATGTATGACTAATGTGCTGGTTTCTTCGAATTCCATGTATTAGCCTGAGACAAGAATTTTGAATTTTTTGAATACGATTTTTGTCAAATAAGGTTAAACAAGGACCATATATTACATCACAAAAGTTAAACTGTGATAAAACCAATGAAACACACAGCATAATTTTATGTTTTTTACTAAGATATTCCCTATCAAACTATTTTCTAATCTTTGCCTTAAATAAACAAACTGGGAGACCTTTTCGAGTAAAAAATAAATAAATAATAGAAGCAGTAAAAATAGTTACAATTGCAATTTCTTAATTGTTAAATAGGAAAAGAAAACGTAAACACAATTTTTACCACAACAAGAAAACAAAGAATAGTCGTTTTCAATAAATAGTTCCTACTACTTAATATTTAAATTAAATAATTATAGAGATTGCTTGGGTGAGTAAACAAAAACTATTCTTAAAAAACTTTAAACCAAACCCAATAATGCCTGTTGCATTCGGTAAAATTTGTCTAACCTTTTCGCTGGGACAAAGAGTCAAAGAGGAAAGTAAAAATAACACCCCAGTGGGGCAAACAACTGCGTGCAGCAGATTTCGAATTCCAGCAGACCGGACAGAGACCCGGATGTCTAAGTAACGTACTAATAACACATGCCTCATTCATGAACTCCAATTGAATGGGGTTATTACTAATACCCTGGTTGAGGGGTAGTCCGGATAATACTTAGTTTTGAGTCAGTTCAAGGCCCCCAAAAACCAACTGTTGTCCCTCCTTGTCCTACACTCCACTAGCCTGAATCGGGCGTATGGTCGGCCCGGCGACAAAATTCCGGGAATGGCCTTCACCATCCACGACATCCTAGGGAAGATTACCTGCCGGGGTGAAAATTCGGATACACTAAATACAGGTAACGCTGTGCAGTGGCGGGATACGTTTAGAACCGAAAGGGGGTAAAATAACCCTAGAAGATCAGTGTAAGGCGTAGCCGATGGGGCCATACGTTCTTATACTCATACTCATATTCAGATATAATTTATTTGGCAGAATTTTCTAAATCTTAAATAATTTTTTTATAAAATAAAATTAATAAAAATTATTAATAATAAAATTAAATTATACATTTTTAACACAAACATATTCACATTAAATTTTAATGTAATTCGATAATTTTTAATTCACAAAGTGTAAACGCTGCTTTAGCTGACTGAATATGCTGCAAACTCCGCGCTTTGTACGTTAAACGGTTTAACTTAAACCGACTATGAACTATGCTAAATATTGACCACTCTACAAAGAGGCAGCGTACGCCGTCTGCTAAAGCTACGTTTACACTTTGTAGATTAAAAATTATCGACTTACATTTAAATGTAAAGTTATAAATTTTGTGTTAAAAATGTATCAATTTAAAATTGTTATAAATAAAAAGTTTTGGTTTAAATTTGTAAAGAGTCATTTAAATGATGGTCGATAAATTTTTAATCCAAAAAATACCACTTTAAAACTTACATTTAAATATAATGTGAGAATTTTTGTATTAAAAATGTTTCGACTATCATTTAAATGACTCTTAACAAATTTAAACCAAAAATTTTGTAGAATAAAATATTTGAACTAAATTTTTTTAAAATAAATATTTTTAAGCTTAAAGTCTTACAGTTGTGTTTTATATTTAAAATATTTTTTGACTATCAATTGTTTTGAGTTTAAAAAATTTAACTGTTCTGTTAAAACATCATTAAAGTGCGAAACTTAAATCTTCAATCTAATAAATGCTAAAACGGCTTGCCTTAGTTTTTGGTCATTTTGGACATTTCTAAGACATATTATAATATGTCTTATAATTATAATACAATGTAGTTTCGAGTATTGGAAGAAGAGCTGCCACATGTGCATAATATCCAATGGGGACTATTTTGAAGGCGACAACATTAATGTATACTAATAAATAAATATTTTTTTCAAAAAACGAAAATTCCCGATATTTTTGAACACACCTCGTATATTAAAGAAAAAAAAGTAATTGAAGGTAAAAGCTTAAGCTTTTGAATTCATTTTATTATTTTTACTATTTTGTTTTGTGGAAAGCTTTAAGAGGGAATAATAATATTGAACAATACAAGAGCAGAAACAAAATTGCAATTTAAAAATATTTTTTCCAAAAGATTAATTAATATAACACCTTGTTGTATGGATATGCAAACATTTATTTTTATATTATATTTTTTTCTCCTCAAAAATTATGTTTTGTCGTTTTGTCCGTTTTAATGAAATTTAAAATTTTGAAAGGTTTTAGCACAATTTAATAAAAATTGTCAAAATGTCACTCACTTAGAACAACAGCGCGTTTCAGAAGTTATATTTATTAATTTAAATAGGTGATTGTAGTATAATTGTATACAAGATTTAAAACAAGAAACAATGACCTTGTTTGAAATGAGTCACTGCTAAAATAAATGTCATAAAATGGGAAACATTTTTTAGAAGAAATATTAGAATATTAAACAATATCTAAAGTACATTTGTTCACGGAGTAGTGGACGCGCCACTAGCAGAAATAGTCGTAACTACCAATGTTAACACGCCAGGTTTATTTTGTCATTTTTATTTGATTGCGTTAAAATTGTATTATAATAAAGTACATTGAGTGCTCTTTCATTATGAATTTAAATTTGCAAATTGCATGCGATATATAACTAAAAAAATATAGGTATCAGTAACAGTAAAGGGTTTATAAATTTACCTGCCTAAACATTATATTGTTATTTTGGAAGTTATAAACTACCAGTAGGTACATATTTAATAAACGACAACATTGAAAAGCCAAGTCCGTAGTGGTTCAATTTAAACAAGGAGGGAGAGTATAATCTAATATAAGTTTGACAAAGGCAGTTCATAAAGAAGTAAAAACAAATAAAATTAATTATAACGCTCTAGCAACGATATTGAAACGTTCTAGTAAAGTAGCAGCTACGTTCCAAATAGTAGCAGGGTTTATAGCTAGTGACATATTTGTTACCTTTTTGGAACTCAATAATTGTTCCCCACTTTAGTCGTAACTTATATCTGTAACTTATACCATAGTAATGAAAGAGTAATATAAAGAGACCGGCGACTGTCGCAAAACACTTTAAAGTTTCTTCAATAGTTCCATATACGTAACAAATACTTAAATTGTTGTTTGGGAAGTATTTATCAACTCGTTTATAAACTTTTCTATACACTCATTAATATAAGCACTCGCTCGCAAGCGTCTAAATTAAATTAGTGTTTTAAATTACTTTTATCAAACTTGATATACTATACTATAATATGTTACAGTTTTAAAGTCATTTCTAATGCAATTTGGATCTAGTTAGATTTAAGAACTTTTAGAGAGTTTTTGGAAATTTTAGACAGTTAATTAAAATTCTAATACAGTTTGGGTCATTAAAGAAAATTCTAATGCAGTTTGAGTCATTTTAGACAGTTTTTAAAAACATTTTTAGATTGTTTTTATAAATTTATAAATTAGAACTTTTGATACAATTTTGATAATTTTAGACATTTTCGCGTAGTTTGGGATATTTTAGACAGTCCTTATGCAGATTTGGCTTTTGGCTTAATTATTTTAAGCAATTCTAATTTTGAGTTATTTGCCGACAAATAATTGTCCGTCGAATATTAATTATCGTTTGCTGAAGTTGGACTGACGTCGGAAATCGATGACTGTCCAACGTCGGCCCGATGTAAAAATGCGATAATCGGTTTCCGCATGGCGGCCGAGGGACGATCGTTTGTCGGGTCAAGACAGTTTTAGGACATTTTTAAACAGTTTTGTGATACATAATTACTATTTTCTCTGATTATACTTACCTTCAATTTTCAAGTTTTTAAATGTGTATATTTTTTGTTTTTATTAATAGGTACATAAATATCTTATGTTAATAAAATTTCATTTGTTTTTTTTTTTCAGGGACTGCATACGATTACGCAACCCACTTCGAAAAACAGCACAAGACCCAAATCATAGACAAACCCATCGTGACCTTAACCCTATCGAAAGACAAAGAAAATCACTACATGTACACCAAAAACGATCTATTGTTTATTATATTCGTGAAAATCGACAGCAAAAAAGATATAATCATACTGCATTGCGTAAACGTCGGACCAGATAGAACTGCGAAAAAAGTTAAATTTAAGTTTGAGATTTACGAGAATGAGAAATTGTTGCACAAAACTACTGAGAGGAATTGCTCGAATTTGTTGATACAGCAGGATGGGTTTTTACTATCAAATTCTATATTGAGTTTGGAAGATATCAATGCGCATGTAACATGTGAGTTGAAGTTGAATATGACGAGTTGCGAGACGTTTATTTACATACCTGTAAATATGGACGTGGAAAATAGAAAGAGGATTGTGAATTTGCAACAAAGAATGAAAAGTATTAAAATTAAGAACAAGACGTTGGTAAACAAGATCAAAAACAACATCCCTTGTGAAAAGGTATGCACAAACTTATGTTTATGTCATGAATATCAGGATTCTTCAAGCTTCAAGATATCTTTTGATGAAGCAACACAAATAAAATACCCAAAATTTAATATATCAAACTGTGGGGCAGCTATTATAACAAACACAAATACCAAATTCGACTTATTCTGTTCAAATTGCGAGAAATTTTGCAGCCATTATTGGAACATTTTTGAATGTGAAAAGTGTAATAACTTCACATGCAATCAATGTAAAACATTTGTAAACATGGAATATTGTTCATCAGGTCACAAATTAAAGCCAAATCTCGCCATAACTGACATCTACAATAAACTCAAAATAACTTGCAAATGGAATTGTGGTGAGTCCTACAAGAGTCCTGACATAATAAGTCACCAAAGAGTTTGCGACAGAAGACCCAAACAATTCTGCCCTGTGCTAAATTGTCAATGGCGTGGATATCTCAGGGATTTGGAAAAACACTTTCATGATACTCATTCAAAGATAACCCTATTTTTTTCTAATAGAGTTGACGATATTGTTGTCAACAAAAAAAATAATATTGTGTATTTATATAATGATAGAGATGTTATTGTTGTTGTAAGAAAAGGTAAAATAAGTGATGATGTTTATAAATGTAATATTATGGAAGTTTTGCCTCAGTTGAAATTGTCATTTTATAATTTGTTATTGCAAGAATTCAACAATTGCCAGTTTGTGACAAATTCTTTTACTTTTAATAAAAATAAGGTTTTTAGATTGATACTAAAAGAAAAATGTTTTAATGAAAGATAAATAAAAAATATCGACCTTCTTAACGTTTATTTAATTCATACCTACATAATTACCAATCTCAAATAAAATCCACATTGAATATAGTAGGCACGTAATATGAGTAAAATAGGTTGATCTAAGTAGGTACACATAAATAAGTAGTTAATCAAACATAAGTTAAAACTTATCAGGAAATATTTAAAAAATACTGATTTGTATAAAAATAAGTTACAAAATAGTATGTAAATAAATCAAAGTCTAAGCGGAAAATCCAGTATATAAGTTATTCGCTTTTTTCATTATTAATATAATTATTCTCTACTATCTCTTTTATATATTATTATAATAATAACCCTATTTTTTTCTAATAGAGTTGACGATATTGTTGTCAACAAAAAAAATAATATTGTGTATTTATATAATGATAGAGATGTTATTGTTGTTGTAAGAAAAGGTAAAATAAGTGATGACGTTTATAAATGTAATATTATGGAAGTTTTGCCTCAGTTGAAATTGTCATTTTATAATTTGTTATTGCAAGAATTCAACAATTGCCAGTTTGTGACAAATTCTTTTACTTTTAATAAAAATAAGGTTTTTAGATTGATACTAAAAAAAAAATGTTTTAATGAAAGATAAATAAAAAGTATCGACCTTCTTAACGTTTATTTAATTCATACATAATTACCAATCTGAAATAAAATCCACATTGAATATAGTAGGCACGTAATATGAGTAAAATAGGTTGATCTAAGTACACATAAATAAGTAGTTAATCAAACATAAGTTAAAATTATTAGGAAATATTTAAAAAATACTGATTTGTATAAAAATAAGTTACAAATTAGTATGTACATAAATCAAAGTCTAAGTGGAAAATCCCGTAAGTATATAAGTTATTCGCTTTTTTCTTTATTAATATAATTATTCTCTGCTATCTCTTTTAGTAGCTTTGATGTACTGGATCCCGTTAAAAATAATAAAATAAAAAATAAAATAAACAAGATCAAAAACCACATCCCCAGTGAAAATGTATGCACAAACTTATGTTTATGTCATGATTATCAGGATTCTTCAAGCTTTAAGATATCTTTTGATGAAGCAACACAAATAAAATACCCAAAATTTAATATATCAAACTGTGGGGCAGCTATTATAACAAACACAAATACCAAATTCGACTTATTCTGTTCAAATTGCGAGAAATTTTGCAGCCCTTATTGGAACATTTTTGAATGTGAAAAGTGTAATAGCTTCACATGCAATCAATGTAAAACATTTGTAAACATGGAATATTGTTCATCAGGTCACAAATTAAACCCAAATCTCGCCATAACTGACATCTACAATAAACTCAAAATAACTTGCAAATGGAATTGTGGTGAGTCCTACAAGAGTCCTGACATAATAAGTCACCAAAGAGTTTGCGACAGAAGACCCAAACAATTCTGCCCTGTGCTAAATTGTCAATGGCGTGGATATCTCAGGGATTTAGAAAAACACTTTCTTGATACTCATTCAAAAATATCCCTATTTTTTTCTAATAGAGTTGACGATATTGTTGTCAACAACAAAAATAGTATTGTGTATTTATATAATGATAGAGATGTTATTGTTGTTGTAAGAAAAGGTAAAATAAGTGATGATGTTTATAAATGTAATATTATGGAAGTTTTGCCTCAGTTGAAATTGTCATTTTATAATTTGTTATTGCAAGAATTCAACAATTGCCAGTTTGTGACAAATTCTTTTACTTTTAATAAAAATAAGGTTTTTAGATTGATACTAAAAGAAAAATGTTTTAATGAAAGATAAATAAATATTATTGACCTTCTTAACGTTTATTTAATTCATACATAATTACCAATCTGAAATAAAATCCACATTGAATATAGTAGGCACGTAATATGAGTAAAATAGGTTGATCTAAGTACACATAAATAAGTAGTTAATCAAACATAAGTTAAAACTTATCAGGAAATATTTTAAAAATACTGATTTGTATAAAAATAAGTTACAAAATAGTATGTACATAAATCACAGTCTAATAAGTGGAAAATCCCGTATAAAAGTTATTCGCTTTTTTCTTTATTAATATAATTATTTTCTGCTATCTCTTTTAGTAGCTTTGATGTACTGGAACCAGTTGCATCAACCATATTTGTTAAAACTCCATGTTCATTTTTAAGTAAAACATGTGGATGGTCGAACTCCACTACTCTTCCTGCATCCATAACTAAAATTTTATGTGAATCCATAACAGTATTAAGTCTGTGCGCTATGGTAAGCACTGAGCAATTTGCAAACTTGTTTCTTATGGTGTTTTGGATTAACGCGTCTGTATGGGGATCTACATTGGCTGTAGCCTCGTCCAAAACTAAAATTTTGTTGTTTCTTATTAGGGCGCGAGCTAGACAAACCAGTTGTCTTTCTCCAATGCTGAAATTTGACCCACCCTCCATAACAGTTGAACTTAAACCTGAAGGTAACTCAGCTATGGTTTCTTTCATCTCCACTTGCTCTAAGGCGTTCCATAGAGTTTCATCACTATACTCTTCGAATGGGTCAAGATTTTTCCTCATAGAACCCGAAAATAGAACTGGTTCTTGTGGTATAATGGATATTTTGGACCGCACTTCATCCAATGGTAGATTCGTAGCATCTACATGATCTATGAAAATACTTCCTTGAAGTGGATACAATTGAAACAATGCCGATATTGTAGAAGACTTTCCAGCCCCTGTTCTTCCAACTATACCAACCTTCTCCATTGGTTTAACAGAAAAACTTAAACCCTTCAAAACGTAGTTTTCATTTTCGTTATATTTGAGTTTAATATCCTTAAACTCAATAGCACCTTTTTCAGGCCAATCAATCGGTAAATTATTGCTTTTATTTCTTTCAGGTTCACTTTCAAGTTTTGTGTACTCCAAAACTCTCTCCACTGAAGTCATTTGATTCTCCAACTCACTCCATTGTCGCATGCCCCATTGCAATGAAGCCATGAGTCCCATAAATTGGGTTATTATCAAACCTATATCGCCAGCATATATTCCTAGAAAATGTTGTTATAAGTTTTTAAGAAATAAAGCTAAAATATGTGTTAACTTACGATCATTAAAACCAATAAGGCTAAAAAGACCCACAGCAGCAAATGCTACACAAAGAATGTCCAACCAAAAACCAAAACACCTTCCAGAAGCCAAAAATAGGAACCAGGCTGAACTGTGCTCATCTTGAAACTCGTCAAACTCATTTATTAACATTTTTTCCATGTTAAAAGCTCTAATGGTCGTCAAACCGTTTATTGAAGCTGTCACATGGGTAAGCATAGGACTTTTTTCTACAAAATTTTTGAACTATTGATGTAAAAGACATAAAAATGTTATAATACATACTTATTGCTTCCAAACGTTTAACACATCTACTTGTTTTAATATAGATTGTACGTACGAAGTAAATTATGAGGAAGAAGATTGCAGATGGTAATAATAAAAGAGGTTCCACCATTGCAGATAAAACAACTACTCCGATCAGTTGTAAAGAAATCTAGAATAAAAAATGTTAATTTCTACACCTGGTTAAATTTACTTATGTATATTACCTCCAAAACATCTATAAGCACCGAAGGCAAATATTCATCTATGATACCCAAATCTTTAGAAAACCGATTTAGAATTCTCCCTGAAGGGTTTTCATTGTAAAACCTCATGGTTGCCTTTATTATTTTATTGAAAATAAAGTCGTGTAGATTTACTGAGGCTTGAGCAAAGAAAAGCATATAATAAATTGATTTTAATATAGCTATAATTATAGTTGCAAGTGTGATGCCGGAATAATAATATATAATTTCCTTCTCTGGAAATGTTTCGTTTGGTTTGGTAAGGTTTTGGTTTTCTTTGTTCTTGAAGTCTTGGTCATAATTTACCCTATAATTTTTTTATTATACAATGATTAGATGTTCATTTTAAATACATACCAGTATGTTAAGTAATATTCTCCTCCGTTAGCGATTACTTGACATAATATAAACGATAAAAACAGCAAGATTATTAAAAATTTGCTTCCGCCAGCCTTTAGATATTGCCAGTAAGTTTGTGCGTTTATTCCTCCTGTACCCATGTGTTCTTTAGCTATAACCGGATCGTCTTCATCATCTGACAATTCAGATCTTTCCGAATTTTGCCTCGATTTGATCTTCTTTCTTTCCTCGTCGTGGTCCTCATTACTGAACTTCTCTAGAAGCTTTCCAAAGTCCATACCACTGTTTTGAAGTTCAGCGTACTTTCCTTCACCCTGGATTTGACCGTCGTCCAATATTATTATTTTATCAGCACTTTTTAAGTATTGCAATTGATGGGTAACCAGGATTCTGATCTTATTGCTTAAGAATTGTTTAATACACTTATCGTATAAGTGTTTTCCTACGTGGGCATCAACAGCCGATAGAGGGTCGTCGAGTAGGTAGATATCGGCTCGCTTGTAGACGCATCGGGCCAAATTTATTCTTGCCTTTTGGCCACCGCTCAAAGCTTTACCCTTTTCACCTAGTAACATATTAAGTATTTTATTATACAAAGTTTTATGCAAGAAAAAAACAGTGAGTGTGCTGACATTAAACATAAAAAACATGGTTTACTCGATTGATATGGATTTCTGTTTTCCCAATTATCGAGATTTACCATTATTCGATTTACCATTATTCTTGAACTTCACTAAGAAATACTTAAAATCGAAAATCATCTCTTTAGATACCGTAAACACGGGTGGCTTTGCACCCGCGGGTGACTTTAACCTTTTTATGAAAAATTTTGTCGAGCTCGATAAAATTAACATTTATAATTTGTTGGTCTAAACCTGTCAATTGAGCGATACAATTGAGTTTATATTACAGTGTAATCAGTAGGGATGGGATTTTAGTTATTTTACCTTTTTTTAACCGATGTAACTATTTAAAAACCAATAATGCCAAAATGTGTTTTAAAAGATTTTCTTTTATATGAACCTAACTTGTTTTCATCTTTTTTACCTTTTTTGGAGGTTTTTGCTTTAAACTACCTTTTTTATACCTTTGTTACCTATTTTTTTAACTTGTTTTCACCTTTTTTTTCTTTTTTGAGGTTTTTGCTTTAAACTACCTTTTTATACTTTTGTTACATATTACCTATTTTTGCGTATTTTTACTTATTTTATTTTTTGTGTTCTTTTTAAATTTTGCGCCAATATTTTATCCAGGCGTGCAACTCAACGGTATAGAATTTTTTCTTATGGTCACAGACTGTAACAGTAACTTTCTTTACAGTTACCTTCTTTGTAGTGAGCTTATGTTCTGTCATAGAACTTCTGTGTAGTGAGTGTCACTCAGTGAAACACAGTTTATTGCATAGAAATAATTTATTGTGGGTATGTTCTGTGTTTGGGTATGCGGCTAAACAAAATTATAAACTAAACTTGAACTTTTAATGTTTTTTTTTAGCTAAAATGCTGTTTTTTTAACCTAAAATGCTTTTTTTAGTACCTTTTTAGTTACCTATTTTTCAGTTTTTAGTACCTAAATATCCCATCTTTAGTAATCAGTGTTTTAAAAATATAAATGGGATTTATTACATGTGCCCTTTAAAATTGTTTATATTGCATCAGTGCAGAACTCTTAGAAATACACACGTTAAAATTTCTATATTGGGAGCATTCCTTTGGAATGATAATCCTTATTTTTTTATCGGTAATCCCGTGCAATCGCTACATGTCGCTAATAACATTTGTCTAATAAAAATAAAATAAAATATTGAGTTAATTTTATACGGAAAATACACTGTGAGACAAAGTTACCCGCAACCAGGGGGTAACTTTGCACACCCAGTTTTTAATTTTTATTTTTGAAACTCAGCCCTACGTAATATTATAACATAGTTTTTATGAAAGAGCAACTCAAGACTCAAATTTTGGTATATAATTTTTAATGTTTATGATTGTTAAAACCACAAAAATTTTAAGCTTAAGTTTGAAAGTGAGCTAAAGCCCCGTGTTTATGGTATTTGTTTTTTATTGAATTATTTAAATAAAATTTCACTAAAACTTATGTTGTTTCAGAAAGTTACAAAGTAAGAAACCAAACTAAAACTTACAAACCAAGACCACAATCCGAAAATAAAATAATGTAAACGAAAACAACGTAAAACAAAATTAAAAAAACGTTAAACAAAAAAAAAAATGCCCAGATAGGTACTTTCTGTCAAAAATAAAAATTTTAAAAATATAATTAAACTTCAAACAAATAATCTAAGTATTACAGAACCAGAAGAAGAATAATGAGTATGAGTACGTATAGTTAGCCCCATTAGCATCGTCATACACTGGTCTCTTTTTTCCCCCTTTTGTTCTCCTGCGTATCCCGCAACTGCACAGCATTACCTGTGTTTAATGGATACAAAGTTTCACCCCGGGCTTGTAAATCACCCTTGAGAGATCGTGGACGACAGTGTCGTTCAGGCTAAGTTGAGCGGTCTAAGGAATGTCAAGCCGTCCATTATCTCTATGTTCAGGCACAATTAAATACATGTATTTTCGTAGCCCCTCTGTACGAACAAACGGCAAGCCGCGGCACTGATAAATCATCTTCTTGTCATCGAAATCTCGCGACGATTCGATATTTAATTTAATAAACGGCCACATGACCCCTCCCAAAGCGCTCAACTTAGTCTGAACGGACTGTACACTCGATTTTTGTTTGGCTAGTGGAGTAAGTATAATCCGGAAACCCCCTAGTTCTAGGATTTAGTAACACCCACATTCAATTGGTGATCATGAATGGGGCTTGGATGCTTAATATGCTGTATGTGCATATCGTGCTTCTTGCTATACTTCTTGTCCGTCGAAGTTTTAACAAGTTGTTATCCTAAAAAGAATTATAGAACAGATATTCATTTATATCGCCCCACAGTGCACTGCAAAGACCATTAATTAACTCGTCAAGAAGTGAAAATATTGCTCTTGATACGAGTTGGTGTTTGCTTTTTTATGCTTGGGTAACCGATTTTTTAGTTTGTTTCCTATGATTTATTGCTTTTTATGCGACTGTTTATTTTATGTATTTATACTTTTCCCTGAAACTTTTTCTTTTGATTTTAAATACAATTTAAAAATGCACGGCTGTTTGTTATTAATTGCGAATTTTTGTACGAATTTAACTCTGGTACTTATCTTTTATCTGCTGTCCTTTTGGTGCTTAGGTTTTGTGCTTTTTAAGAATCATGTACATTTTTCATTTTTTATGTGCACATGGTTAATTAATATTGTACCCGGGCGATGTTTTTTGTTTCTTATAAAGTCTCATTCGGTTTTTTTTAAAGAGAACCCTCTCACGCACTACTTGTCACAGTGAAATCTCAGACGCTACTGAGAACCAGAAATAATAAAAGGTCGTTTCTGTGTTTAGTCTTCAGTGAGTTCTGTTTTCATCTCCTCTTCTTTTTTGATCATTTTGATTATGAAAGTGAAATTTCAGAAAAACAAGGGCATAATTGATGCGTCCGAAAGCCTACTTCTTATTTTTGGAATAAACGTATAATCATAATAATTTTATTTATGATTTATTTCGTTGACTACATATACTTTGATAGGTACAAAACCTAAAAGGCCTAAAGGCCTAATGTTTTCAAAAGAGAGCGTTCTGCACAAATATCACAGACCTGTATAATAATAATACATGTCAACAATTCACACTTGCGTTCATAAACGCACTTACTAATACTTGATAAAGCTGCAATAACAGCGTAAATTATGAATCAACCAGATGAGGTGACTAACTAATGCGTATGGTATGCGCCGCATGCCCTTGTCCTGGTTTCAGATTAAAAATAAGTTCCAAATCTAGATTCTCGAGATTTTATTTCCCGATTTTTTCGAGACCTTTAAAGTTGATGGACAGAAACCTAGGGTTTTAAAGATCCTTCCAAATCGGTTGTTGTTCCAGAAAATATCGGTGCAGTGGGTTAACTGACATTCATTCGACTTATCGCGCGATTGAGTCACCCTTAAGTATGAGTATGACGACCATGAATAAAATATTGCACAAAAACATCGAAGTGAAAAATATTTGGTCGCTTTGGATCGTGCATAATTTTACAATTAGTAAAAACAAAGCTCTTGTTGATTGATGAAAAGAAATGCTCAAAAAATACCATCGCGGTGCACCAAAATCTGTGTATAACATCTACACAGGTGACAAATCTTGGATCTATGCATATGAACCCGATTGCAAACAGCAGTCAACGGATGGGTTATCAAGATGAGCAAACTCAACAAAAGTTGTTTAAAATGCATGTTTAAAGGTACCTCAATCGGAGTCGTAAAAGTGAGAAGGAAATTGGTTCAAACGTATGAAAACGTGATCTATTGATCAATAAAACCGTTTTACCAATAAAAGCATTTCTATATTTAAAAATATCGTCACACCACGGTGTTTCCTTGGACGACGAATACAGAGCTGTGGCTATTTCACAATGTCTTTAATGTTTAATATCAGCATTTAAACTTAATAATTTAATACAAATAATGAAAATGTGTATTTATTTCAAGGGTTACAAACTTACCAACTAGCGTTTTATCGCCAAAAGGAAACATAGCTAAATCAGCTCTTAAGGCACATACATCTATAACTCTCTCATATCTATCCTCATCATACTCATTTCCAAAAAGTATATTATCCCGTACACTCGCGGAAAATAACCATGGTTCTTGCGAGGAAAAGGATATTTTACCCAGTATCTCCATCTTACCTTCTTTGATAGGTAACTCTTTCAACACAACATTTAATAAACTACTTTTCCCACTACCAACCGGTCCAATAACAGCTAATAATTGATTCGCGGATGCGCTTACACTAATATTGCTTAAAGTATCATCTGGACTGTCATCTAACCACTTTGCGTTTACGTTGTGTAAAGCTACCCTTAGATCTGGGTAACCTCTGTTGTACACACCAAGAGTATCGCCTCCTTTGCCATTTTTTATTTCCATTTTTTCGTTGATTGTGTGTTCTTTGATTGTATCTTTAACTTCTTCAAAAGTTAGGATTTCGTTTACTCTGTTTACTGTTACGTGCACTTCAGCAAAGCTGGATATGCTCAGGGAAAATAGGATTGTCACTACAGGTTTAAGTAGGTTGTATATAGCGGTAACAGCAAAAACTTTTTGGGCCTCCATTTCACCACCCATTAAAATATAACCTATAACGCATATAAAAACTCCCGTTCTGGATACGAAAATTTCGAACGAGTACATAAGACCGATAATGTAAGAATGTTCCCTTATAGCCTTCATTTCGTTCCTAAAAACGGTTTTAGAAAATTATAAATACAATTAGAGTGAAAACAGTTACCTTCGTGCTAAAGCTATTAACTTGGCAAATGATTTTTCCCAACAATACATCTTAATAACTTGAATTCCTGATATGATTTCATTCATTAATCGACATCTTTCGTCTGTCTTTAAGGCTGTTCTTAATCTCAGAACTGAACATCTCTTTGCCAAATAAGCTAAAAAAAATAATGAATTACATAAATAAAAAAAGTATACCAAGACCTACCTTGTATGGGTACAAAAGAAATTAGAAACCCTGTACCAAACAGAGCCGCTATCCCGATCTCTTGGTACAACAAATAGGTACCAATGGCCGCCTCAATGGGCCCAATCCACAAAAAGTGAGAAATAACAAAACCTTGGTCGAATTTGCTAACATCGTTGGACAACAAATTCACCATGTGTCCCACGGTAGTTTTTCCTAAGGCAGTTTTACTCAGTCTTAAGCTTTTTCGGTATATTAAAGAGCTGCAAGCTACCCGAATTTTCATCGAAAGATGCTGCAAGCCCATCATGCATGGATGCGATATACACGTGCTCACAACTGTGGCCACCACATACATTCCTGCATAGAAATACGCATTGCTTTTTGATATTGTATGTTGATTGCTTTCGAAGAAAGACACTAGTTTTTCTATTAGGTAAGGCAATACAATACTAAAAAATAATAATATTAATGTAGGGTGACTCTAATCTAGTCTTAAGCCAATTTTATGACTTTGGTCCTTTATGTCTTTCTTGAATTATATGTATATAGAATATCTTTAATGTCTTTAATGTATACTAGGTCTTCTACGACGTGTCTTTTTTGTGTTTTATGTCTATTATATTTTTAATGTTTAATATAGGGTAATTTTAATTCCATTGTCTATGCAGTCTTCTTTTATGTCAAACTTTTTCTGACAAATCAAGAGGCTTTATTTATAATTTTTTTTTAAAAGTCTTGTCTTTCATGTCTGACAAATAATAGGGACTTATCAGTCTAGTACTAGTCTTGTTTGTGGTTTATTATTTTATGTATTAAAAAAGTACTTACACTAGTAAAAGTTCGTCTGCAAACTTAATTAACCCTAAAAAGACGTATAAAGGTCCAAACTGCTTTATCAAGGCGCGATGTAATGGATATTTTCTTTTACTTCGGTATTCTTCCTTCCAATAATTTTCTAGTTTATCTCCTAATAAATTTGATTTATGCTCTTCGAGAGGAGCAAAGAGATCGTTTTCTGATAGCTGCTTTTTATAGGATTTAGTAAATATTGGGAACATATACCTAAAATTAAACCAATTAGTAAATAATGATTTTTTAAAGAAAGTAACCGGTATTGTTCAGTGTAGTTTATCTATGCATTTTCTCAAGGATCATTTAAATTATCTTACATAAATGCTTTAATGCAACCACAGTGCTTAGAATGCATAACAAAGGATTTTCTAATTCCACTTAATTCTAATAATTAAGTTTGGTTAAACACCTGTTAGACAAAATAACCTTAATCCCATTTTTCTCTGATATGTCAATAGGATGCAAGTTTTATGAGATAAACAATAAATGCGATAAGGTCTTGTATTCTTAAAATTAATGATATAAATTTTTATGACAAATTCCCAACTTATCAGTTTAGCTGTCTTATAAACAGGAAGTCAATGGCAGACTTTAAATATAATTCCCATTTTCATTTTTCCTATTTTTAAAACCAGAAAATTTATTTTTTATTTAACAGAAAATGATTAAACTTGACAATTATATTATTAAAACATGTATCAGTGTTATCAGTGTTACATATTATGTGATCATATATAACTATAGTTATATTAACTTTTCATTAATTTAAAAATGATGTCATAACTTCCAGTTTTTATTTTAACAATTAATTGTGAAGGCACAGTTCCGCGACTTGCAAATTTAGTATTATGTGCTAGTTAATTTTTATTGACTATTTATCTATGTACATATGTCATTATTTTCCTATTTTACAGAATACGTAATATAATAGTCACACCCATTATTAATATGAAAAATGTTTATTTATTAACTAATAGGGTGGGCCGAAAATCCGCTTTTTTAGAATTTCGTTTAGTAATAGCAAAAATTTTGTTCATTATGTTGTAAAAAAATTTTGTGTAAAAGATTAAAATTTTCGATCAACATCCTAGGCTCGCCCAACGCAATTAAAGATCAAAATGTTCAAAAAAAATTTTTCTTAATTTATTTCGATCGGAAATTTTATGCTCTACACAAAATTATTTCAGATGGATAGTTTCAGAAATTTGTTCATTATGTTGTAAAAAAAATTTGTGTAAAAGATTAAAATTTTCGATCCTCATCCTAGGCTCGCCCAGCGCAATTAAAGATCAAAATGTTCAAAAAAAAATTTTCCTAACTCAATTCGATCGGAAATTTTATGCTCTACAAAAAAGGTCCTTACACTAAATTACTTCAGATGGATAGTTTTAGAAATAAACCCGATTTTAGTATCAAAATTTTTTTGAACATTTTGATCTTTAATTGCGTTGGGCGAGCCTAGGATGTTGATCGAAAATTTTAATCTTTTACACAAAATTTTTTTACAACATAATGAACAAAATTTTTGCTATTACTAAACGAAATTCTAAAAAAGCGGATTTTCGGCCCACCCTATTAACTAATTAAGTTATCAATTTTTATATTTATGTTAAAAATTATATTACAATGATAATTTTTATATTATTTCTCGGTTTTAGGTACCTAAATCATGTTACATGTTACAAGTGGGTTGGGATTTTTTTGTGACACAAATGGTCATACAATACATTGTTCCCATCACATTCATTTTTTAATGTTGTGGTGTTTCAGCATATCATAAACACAGTGTTGTGTTTTAACTTAAGTCCATGCTTAATAACTTCATAATTAATAAAATAATAGATAAATTAAGGTGACCGATAATTTATTTTTTAACTTCTTTATTAATAATTTTTTATAACAAAAATAGAATAGTATATTATTTTGTCCCGCAAGGAAATTAAAAATTATTATTATTATAATTATAAGTTTTTTTGGTTTTGAGGTTGTTTTGTAATATATGTAAGTTTTGAATGCGCATAGGTATTCCGTTCGAGTGAAAAGTTTATCACACGAGCCGAAGGCGAGTTTGACGGTTTCACGAGAGCTGAATATGCAATTCCAATTATGTTTCAGACTATACTTTTTCTACGTTCCTAAAATATACCATACCTAGAGAAATAATTTTATTGAGAGAAATTGAGGTTGGATCGGTCTAAAAGATGTTAGATAATAAACACAGGGATGGCGCCACCAGTGTTTATTCCGTCATCCGATAATAGAATCTATTCGTGCTGTAACTAGAGATGCGACTTGAAAAAAAACGGTCCCTTTTTTTTGTTTTTTTTTCAGGTTTTTTTTCATCGTTTTTTTTTTCAGATGGTTTTTTTCACATTTTAGGTTTTTTTCAAGATTAGTCCCATTTGCCTATTTTTTTATGTTTCCATGGACTAAAATTAGCCACTAAATGACAATTATTAAATGTAAATACAGTCTCGCGTTATGCACTCGCCACAACCACCGATTTCACCAATAAGGGCCGCGCTTGTTTTGATTTGGTCCTAAAAAAAGTAACTACATATAATATTTTTGATTCAGCGCTTGATTTTTCAAAAAGCTACCAAAAGCACTTTTTTCATGATTTTTCCAATTTATGTAGAGTATGGAATTTTTTTTTTCAAAAAACAATTGCAAATTCTTGTAGAACATTCGTTCATTGGTGGTCAGAACATTAAGTGGACCAAAAAAGAAATAAAAAAAAATCGATTTTTTTATTACGGTATTCGTTAGAATTGAGCGTTGCACGTTTTTCATCTAAAAATCTCAAAACTAGAAACTTCAAGCTTCAAATTGCTTTTTTTACGGCTCCAATACGACAATTTTTAACAAATATACAGCCATCCGAAAAATCGCAAAAAAAAATTTTTATCCTTTAATTTTTTGTATTAGTGTAGAAGTTTTACATTGCTATTAGTTTTTAATGTGGAAACTACCAAATAATAAGAAATCAGATTTTTTATTTTTGGTCAAAATTTTCAATAATGAAAAATATAATATATTCTACATTTTACTCAAATTTCATTTTGAAAAAAAAACAAAAAAAACCGTTTTTTTTTCTAGTTTTTTTTCATGTTTTTTTCACATCTGAAAAAAAAACCGTTTTTTTTACATCTCTAGCTGTAACACTTTAAGGAATTCCACATTAGAACGGTCACATACCTACCTTAATAAAAAAAATAAATTGTTTTCTACGATTTTTTGGGAATATGCCCAAAAATTAGGTAAATTCCAAATATGTAAAGAATATTTTAAATCATATGGAATTAATTGTTTACAATTGTCTTCTTTTTTTTTCAATAGTGGAACAATATTGTCATTATTCAACTATTGTAAAAATAGCTCACTTTAAACAACTTCCATATTATTTCTTTACTTTAACAGGTGTGCGGAAGTTAACTTTAAGTTAAATTTGGAAAAAAGTGAGGTTAAAACTAATTGACAGCTGTCAGATTTCAAAAATCAAATAAAATTGGCTTTAAATTCTTTGTGGTTGATAAATAAAATATTGTGTGCAACTATTGGTCAAAAGAGGAGATTCCATTCGCGTGTTACCTAACTCGCTACGCTTTTGCGGCAAACTCCACGCTCGATGAATCTCCTATTTTTCTCATTAGTCGCACAATATCATTGTTTTCAAGCGAATAATGTCTTGATTCCACGTGAGTATGGGACAAATAATATACCTACTATCCACTAGTTTTACCTATGAAACATAGTGGTTTAAAATTAAAACCATATCTAGGAACATTTTAATAACTCGAGCGTGGAATTTGGAGAGGAATCTCCTCCATTGACCAATAGTCGCACACAATATTTTATTCAACTACCGCAAGGAATTTAAAGCCAATTTTATTTAACCTCACTTTTTTCCAATTTTAACTTGAAGCTAATTTTAACCCGTGGGCGAAATAGCGTTTCCAACACGGGTTGAAGGTACAAATGAACAATTAGGGAATTTATTACTTCGCTTACTCTTAGCAGGGCCACGAAATTACATATTTCTTGCGGTTGTTGAATATACTGATAAATTCCATTAATAAATAATACCTACCTATATTGTTAAATTAACAATTAAACATAGTTATATCAGCTGCAATATGTCTATGATCTTGGCATAAAATAGGCAATAAAACTTTAATTACTTAACAATTAAACTCAACATCAACACAAAGAATACAAAATGTCAAAATCACATGGCCTATACGAATCTACTTACAAAAACATAATACTAGAAACCGGATTGGCAGTTTGGGCCGGGTTTAACTTTTTCTCTTTCTTTATAGTTCTATCCATTTTCACACTTTTTCGTTCACTTTATTTATAAAACTCTTGTCCACTTCATTAACATAACTGATTCCGTTTATGGAACGCACTCTCTCACGAACCAGGTCAAACTATTCGTCGACGTTCGACGGCTTGCTTTTGCAAATTTCAATGCTAAGCGGTCCGTTATTCTGGGAAAATCGGTGTTGCCAGGTTGTCGCCGAATAGTGTTACCCACCTTGATTTCCTAAAACAATAGGAAAATCTGTGTTACCGTCAAATGTCAAATTTGTATGTGTTATAAACATAGATAATAAATCAAAATGTTTCCCTTAAAAATGGATTAAACAGTTTTTCACAGTGAAAGTAAGGAAAATGTTTTATTACAACTTCACGGTCCGAGCCCCGATTTAAGTTATACCTAGTTTCCCGCCGGCGAAATTAAATGTTCATATACTTTTCAAATATTGTCGTTGAAAAACTATTTAATAGTTTTGTATTTTTGTATCGAGATAATACAATAATTTTCAAATTTGGTATTATTTAAGGAGGGCACTTTATTTTAACGATTGTATGACATTTGACAAGTGTCAACCAACTTAAAGCTTACTTCAGCCTGTGACTAAAAGCCTGTTGCTAATTTCAGCCCGTGACTAAAATGCTGTAAAGCCACAGCTTGTCAATGTGTATTTAAAAGGTCACTTAGTGTCATGAAAACATGTACGATAATGGGAGTTATTAGGTATATAAGGTTTTTTATTATTTTTTGAACTACCTATTAACAAGCTTTTATTTAAGCCATCGACTAAATTTAGTTTAAAGTTTAAACTTTAGGTATAACGCATAATAATGTTAAATAAATAGTTTTTAAAAGCGAAATGTTCATAAAAGTACCTATTTAATGGGAAAATTTGTATAAAACCTTAAAAAACAAAATTTAATCAAACAGCAAAATGTTTGCTCCATGTTGTTTGTTACTTAGTTTTTTCTAATTTTATCTTTGTTGCTCCTGGAAAAGATGGGAGACTAGCTAAGCTAAATCTTTTCCTTTTGGAGTGTTTCATGTATATACAGGGTGACAATTTTAAAATGAACACTACTTAGTATTTCTTTAACTGATGACACTATGAAAATTTGGCGAAAATTTTAAAACGAATAGCAGTTAGTATTCTTTAACTGATGACACCATGAAAATTTGGCGAAACACGTCAATTTAAATATCAAGGGGGACAACTGTTGATGTATTTGTTGTTGTATTACATTTAACCCTCCAGAGCACCTACCCCTAAAATTTTAAATAGCAACCCCTATTTATTTCACCATTTTTGAAATCTATGTAATTCTAGATAAGTTAATTTTTTTTGTTGCCAAAATGTATGGAATGTATTTAGTCTTTAAATTAAAATACTGCTAGTTTTTCATTGTTTTGTGAGCACAAGTACAGCCGATATTCAAACTGTTCGAGGACCTTTTTTCTGTGGTAAAATAGCCCTACATTCTTGCACGATCCCTTGTTGGAGTTGTTCAATGGAGTCCGGTTGGGTTTTGAAAACAATTGATTTCAAATGACCCCATAGAAAGAAATCGAGCGGTGTCAGATATGTTGACCTAGGTGGCCATTCAATAGGTCCCCTCCTACCAATCCATTGCTCCGGATAATGATTATCCAACCACTCTCTTACTGGACGTACATAATGAGGAGGTCCTGCTGAAAGTGTAGCAAATGTTAATCTAAAACAAGATTTCCATCGACGTTTTTTTGATTTTCCACCTCATGAATTATACGAGGCTCAATTCTTCTGTCTAACATTTCCGCATACATGTGTATGCCCCTCTCTAATAATGTGAGGATTGAAGTCGCTCCAATAACGGCAGTTTTGTTTGTTCACCTTGCCATTTAAGTAGAAGGTGCACTCATCACTAAAACAGATATTTTTTATAAACTGGGGCTGAGCAATAATCCTGTTAGTCATAATTTCGCAAAAATCAATACGTCTGTCCTGGTCATCATCCGGGATGATTCATCCCCTAATTCTTGAGTAATTTGTAGCATGTATGGGTGAAATTTGTGAAGCTTCAATACTTTTCTGACATTCACGCGACAGTCCAGTTTGTTCCGCAACTTGACGAAGCGACATAGTGGAAGCCATAGCAATTTGGCCAAGAACTTTAATGTGACCAATGACCATTGACCAATCTTGGCTTCTTCCTCTTCTTAACATTTCTTTCTGGACGCACAGAGCTATGTAGCTGGCCAAAATTATTTTAATTGGTATTTACCTTTTAAATCTGTTTAAAATATCTCTTATGTAAAAGTACAGAGTTTATGAGGTGCCAACGGGCTTTAATATTAATCCTAATTAAAAGAAAACACGTTGAATTAAATTCAAAGGTATTAATATCATTTATTGATATCAAATTTTTGAAAGCTATTTCTAATATATCCGAAAAAACTATTTTATGACAATTACAATTTAAAAATACATTATGCTGACCAAAAGAGGAATAAAAGATCCTAATAGAATAATTTAGATACTGTTTTAGTCCGAGTCCTCTCTCTCTGAAAATAAATTAGTCAAAAATGACTAATTTAATAGTTATTAGTGGCTGCTTTTTCACTTGTACCATGGTTAACCATGAAATACCATGGTATCCCAAAATTTAACAGCCAATTCTTATGTAAAATTGTACCCTGAATCCGAAAATGTCGTCAAAAGTTAAAAAAGTAGAACAGGTTTTGAGATTTAATCAATTTTTTATTTAATATGGAATTGACTATATCTCAAAAACTGCTTCACTTTCATAATTTTTAACGGTATTTTTGGATTCAGGGGACAATTTTACATAAGAATTGGTTTTAAAATTTTGGGATACCATGATATTCCATGCTTAACCATGGTACAAGTGAAAAAGCAGCCACTAATAACTATTAAATTAGTAATTTTTGACTAATTCATTTTTAGAGAGCTGGCTAATATTCAACGGGTTTAAATAATGAAATTGTTTCCGGTAGGAATGGTTTTGTTTTTTTGGTTCTTTTAGGCCTCGATAAAGATATAACAGGATCTGAAGTCAAAAGTAACCTTTTAAATACATTTCAGGCAATTGTCCTATAGGTAATAATGCGTTTTGTATTACAGTAGCACCATGACGCAATATTTTTTGCCAGTCCAAATATTTTTTGGGATCGATTTTAAGTCCACTAGATATAGCTTCCGAAATTACTTTAAATCTATAAATTAGATTGGGGTCAACACCCGTTATTTCATGGGCCATGTCAGGGTCTTCAAAATCGACGGCTTGTGTTGCCGTCATTAGTGTTTTCAAATCCTGCCTTTGGAATATCTACTAACAATCCCATTTGTACCCTGAACTTTTCTTGTATATTTGTTTTTGTTTTTTTATCAAGATCCTTTTCTTCCACATTTGTTTTAAAATCCGTCCTTTTCTTACTAAAAGTTTATAGGCCAGATGCAACAGACTCTCAAAAATCCTTATTCCAGCATGTAATATTGATAAAGCTTTGATTGTGTCCCATAAGTAAGTGTGTTTAAATCTATTTCACGTCCTTTTTTTCTCTTAGATCTTTAACTCAATTTTTTTAAATATTTTAGCAGTTGAGCTAACTTGTTTACTTTGGCGTGAGATATCATCCACTCAAGAGTTGAAAACTTATTTGACGACGCCATTAATTAAGACAAAACCCATAAAAAATAATGCATGCTTTTCGTTATTTACAAGAGGTAAAATCCAGACATATTCACAAATTACAATAACCAAATATAACAGTAAACTAAACTTGGTACGAAAAGTGGAAAAGACAAGATGGGACTAGTTATTAATTAATTTGGGTAGCAGAATATTGGTGCTATTAGATTTAAATGAATTTATCATCGAGACTCAGCCTGATGTATATCTAAACTATTTGCATATGTTAAAAATTCTTATAATTAAACATTAGTTTTTAAATATTGCTAATAAAACTAATATTAAATTTAATATATATAAAAATTAATATCAACGTACTGGTAAATACTAATCACTAAAACCACACTTGTCACAATAAGAGGCAACAAAAAAAAGTTCTGGAAATAGCTTTGTCACTGGGATCACGATCAAGTACTCAGTAAGACGAACTGATATCTCTGCGCGGCATACCGGGTAAAGTAATCTGAGGATGGAGAGTGGCTTTAACTATTGCAAGTGTTTTTTTTTTTGTATTTTCTGTAGTTTGACATTTGGACTTTTGGCCAGCTAGATTGCTTAAATACCACTCTGTGCGCCGTTCTTACCTGGCGAAAATAAAGCGTGCATGAAAAGTGTGCGATAAGTGTGTATTTGGAGTTCAAGTCTTTATAACAATGTGCATACCCGCTACTTTGTGGTAATTTCACACTTTTTGAAATAATTAAGTTTTTTCACTCTTTATGTACATTGACATCATGCTTTTTATTTGTCATATTATGTCACGCTTATATTACATTATATTTTAGCACATTGTTTGCACAGTGTTAGTACATTGTTTAAAGACATTTTGCAAAGCTTCAGTCTATCTTACGAATGTCACATTATATACACACTGTTAGCACGCTTTAATATTTCTCATTTATAACCCTTATATTACACTTTTTTATAGCACATTGTTTGTACAGTTTTAGCGATCACTCAACAGTTTAAGCACATTTTAGATATATCTCGCTTGAATTGGGGTACAACATTTATTTAAAAGGTGAGGTAGATTCCATCTTATGTATCGCTTCTCGGCCTATTGCTAAGATCAAAGCAATCCCCTTCGTGGAGTTGACAGGGCAGGTATTTTTCTTAATAAAATACAGTAGGTACATAATATATATTATATAGGACCTAACCATGGTTATTTTTTTATTATTTTTTTTTGAAAAAAAATTTATTTTATTATTATTATTATTATAAGGATATTTATATTTCAATTATGTGTAAATTTAAAAGACTTTATCTACTCCTACATTGACGAGCTGTAACTCTATGGCGTTTTATTGACGGGCTGAAGTTAACAACAGTGGCTTTTCGACATTTTACGCCACGGGCTGAAGTTAGCTTTATTATAAATTGGGAAAAAGTGAGGTTAAACTCGGGTGACAGTTGACAGATGTCAAAATTTTAACAAATAAAATTGGCTTTAAATTCTGTTTTGTGTTCGTCGTAGATAAAGTATAGTATGCAACTCGTTTATAAACTTCTCTAGACACTCGTTTTTATTAAACACTCGCTTGAAAGCTTCGCTCGTGCTTAATTAAACTCGTAACTAAAATGGCGTTTATAAAACTTGATACATAATATACTATTATGGGTCACCAAAAAGAATCTGTTTTTGTAATAGGCACACAGGTGGCAAGAAACAGTGTGCAAACAATGTGAAAAATCAAAAGGAGTTCCCTTTAGAACATTGTCCAGTGATTATTCACACTTTTAAACTTTTGGTTTTGCACATTGTTTCATGTTCCATTTCCCACCCTCCGCACATCATTTTTTTAAAAGATTGCACATTGTTGGCACATTGTTCTCAAATAATTGTGCACACTTTTTGCACATTTCATTTTCGCCAGGGTAACCCTGGCAGAGTGTCGAAGCAACGGTTTTCCGCTCCATAAATAAAAATCATTTCAACGTGTTCTGCAATAATGTAAACCATTTTAAGAAAAGGATACAAAAAACACCCAACTACTATAGCTTATTTTTACCAATCGATTCGGCAAATCAAATTAATAAATTTACAGCGGGCGTACCAAAATACGAACTACACTTATTACTTCTAAATTATATCAGAAATGACAAAATAAAAAAAATGCACAAAAAATTTGTTTTTAACCCTGGGGTGGTGGCGACTCCTGGCAAAACATGAACGGTGACGGTACTTACCGGGAAAACATTTTTACGAGGGAAACAGGAGGCACGCAAATTAGAGATAATATCTATATTATAGGAAATTAATGTTACGTTAGTGGTGCCAGACTCAAAAGGCACAACAAGTCTTATATAAATATATTACTGATGCTACAAACGGTAATGTACTGAATGTTAGCAAGGTATTGAGAATCGGGTTTATATACACCGCTGCCAATTAAAAAAACGGTTTTCCCCACAATATGTGGTAAAATTCCCCACACATACTGAATAACATAGATAAAGTTTTTATTTGCTGAAAAACAAATACCTAACTGAACCTGAAACTGAAAATTTTATTTTTACCTTATCATGTAGTTAATTACCCACAAACACGCGGTTTAAAATAAAACCATAGACCTAAGAATAAAACCCATTTGATTTATCAGCTGATCGGTTTTTATTTGTCAGTGTTGTCATTGTGATGTTTAAATCTTTGCGTATCATAATTACACATTCCAAAGATAATTGATAATTTTGGCAAATACGCTTTTGACAACTGTGACATGGACGCGATGTTTAAAATTTATTAAAACATTCCATTACAGATGTCGCGAGAGTTCAGAATTAGAAAAACAGAAGCACTGTAACATTTGAAGCAATAATTAGGAAAAACTATAAATTCGGGGAATTCCCCACACATTGGCAGCATAAATTATATATCTGCACCCCTGCCCTTTTCCCACGCGATCTTAAAACGCTCGAGTCTCACAGACTCGGAGATACCACTCTAGGGTTATTAAAAAAAATGTAAGCACCCCGCAACCGTTTGAAAACTTGCATTATTTTAATTTATGGATTAAAATTAAATACATTCCATACATAGCAATTTGGCCAAGAACTTCAATCTGAGCGATCTCATTGACCAAACTTGGCGTATTCCTCTTCTTATTGCAAACAGATTTTAAATTTTTTTTCTTTAAATTTAGCTACTAAATCTCGGATGTACTTGTGTCTAACATTTCTTTCTGGATGTCGATCATTAAATATGACCGCCGTTCTTGCGAAACAACGGTTTTACAGCGGGAGTACGAAAATACGAACTGCAGATATAACAAAATAAAAAAATGCACAAAAAAATTGTTTTTAATAAAAAAATGTTAATAAAGGTAAGCCCTTAAACGTAGTTTCACACTAAATATTAAAATGAATGGCTGTGACGGCACAGTAAACGCAACCGCTTGAAAACTTATGGATTACAATTTAATACATTCCATACATTCGTATTTTGGTAAAAATAAATTAAAAATAAATATACATGGTACATGGTACATGTACCTACTAACAACAATTTTCTAAACAAAATAAATAAACTGTTTTACTTCTTTTTTTATATCCCCTTTCATTTTACCCTGAAAAAAATAGAGGCGTCAACTTGCACCTTTGCCCCCTTAAAAAATGTTAAATACGTATGTAGATAATAAATCTAACACCTTTAAAAATCAACTTAATTTAAATGCTACACTAAGAGTCTAAGAGTCTAAGACACAATTCCACAATAATTATTAAACCAAAGTCCCCCAAATCAGTAATAACTTTTAAACATGGCAACGTCGCATAAAACAATTTCATAACGTTTTGTAAAATCGATAAAGCATAGCTACGTCACGATAGCATAGCCGCGTGGAAAGCACGTGGCTACGCGATTATTGATTGGTCGCCATGGTAGGCACTTGGTAAGCGTAAGGACGGGAAGATTGAGCCACTTGTATGACATATTTTGAATTGTTTGGTGTAGCGCCTTAATTTAGACGAATTAAATATACATTGGCTTTAATTGTTTCTTAAATGTTCGTTAATCTCTCTAGTAGACACTATGTGTGTCACAAATATTGACATAGTTAAATTATATGATTCCTGTTGTTTTTTGGATTTGTAAACTGGTGTTAAACATGGGCATACATATAAAATTTTCCAGGTGGAGTAAACAGCATTATTACCGAGGACGACAAAATAAAATTTTCTGTTTGCTGCAGGTTGGCTAACAACTTTTTTGGGGTAATTGCCGTGTACTGATTCCTAAAATTACCATTTTGCCTAACCAGCCCCTTATTTCTGCGATGTTATACAAAAAGCGTTTTTTTGTACGTAAACTTTCAAATTCGTAAATATATTTTTTAGTCAAATACCTACCCAACCAAGGATCATTGGAGTCATTCTATCATTTTTCACCAAATTTGACAAAAATTGAAAGCTGACCTTAATGGATTTTCTTAAAACTTTTAGGGTGTGAAGGAGGCCAATGCTTAGGATGAACAAAAACCACAATAATTTTTTTTATTTAAACATACTGAGGAATAAGGCAGGGCCATGTTGACCGGTTTGCATAAAAATTACCAAATCGGTGTCTAAGAAAACCCTTTATAACTAACTGTTTATTAATATTTTGTATCGCGTAATATTTTTAAATACATGCCTAAAATTATACAAATGTTTTACAAATGCAGTTTTTTTAGTGCTAAATTTATGCTTCTTTTAACTGAAAATGTCAATTTTCTGCCATTGATATTATATATATGTAGTAGGGTATGAAAATTTGATTTGGTGTATATTTTTATTTAAAGTAATTATAAATATTGATTAAAATATAAAATGCGAAATTTTAAAAAAGTATCCAAATTGCAGGAAATACCATCATAATTATGAAAATTTCCCATTTTTGGAGAAAAAAATGCATTTTTTCATCCAGAGGGACTGAACGAAAATTCTAAAATTTAACAGAATGTTCTCAATATAAATTAAAAACTTCAACAAAAACATTTTGTGTATTTGCCTTGCTAGGAAGATACAACGGTTTAAAATTGTATAGAATATGGAATTATTTTCATGGTTTTTTTTATCAAGATGGCTTTGATAAAAAAATACTATTTAAAGGTGTTTGAAAAACAAATATAAAATAGTAAAAATTAAGCTACATAAACATTCAAAAATTATTTTATAATAATTATAATTATAATAAAATAACGCATATAGTTGTCGCGGCGAATGTTTCAAATTGCGTCATCAAATTCTGAACCAAGCACAGACATTACCATTATTGTTGTTTTCTTTTACGTATATAATCCAAGGAACCGCTAGGTTAACCGTATGTCGAGAAATCGGTGTTTGACATTCGACATTGATGACGCAATTTGAAACATTCGCCGCGACTTTACATGATAATTAATATAAAATAAAACAAACAAATACCTATTTGTATTGTTATCTTAAGGTACAGAATGATTACATACATATAATGGATCGCCTATGTTATTTTTATTACTGTTAAATGATTGCAACCAATCAGATTCACTTATTTAATTTAACAAAAGAACAATAATTGTTTTGGTACTATGCCTAAGTGAATAATTATGTGTATTTTAGCAATAATTTTAACAGAGAACTTGTTTTTTTATCGTAAACAATGCTTTATATATTCACGTGTTACTTCATTTATAATACAAAACTATCCCAGTCAGCATCCAATTCAGAAAGATTTCAGTATGAAGTCTTTTAAACAACTTCGTGTAGAAGTTCTAACATGACGTCTTAAACAGCTCCTTTCTATGAGCTCAGAATCCTGAGCTGTTAATGAACTCATAAATAAGAAGTCAATTTTTTTACGTACAAATGAAGATCTTTTCTTTACCTCTTTTTTAACTATTTATTTTGAGCTTACAGAGTATTCTTTTTTCTTACTTCCAATTGAAATCATACTATTAACTCTTCTAGAAGTCAACATGGAAACGTCACATTTATGACATTTTAATGCGATTACTTTCTTCTCACCGCTGTAACTGCTTGTGTTTGATATAAGAAGCGGCGAAGTAGAATTTAGAGCGTGCTCCATACCAAACGGTCTTAGACCTAGGTAAACGGCTACCCGATCCTGACGAGCTCCACAAGAGCGAAACAGGCCGTCTATCGGTGCCGGTGAATACTAGCAAATTATTAAAATGATTTTAATAAAATCAATTTAACAAATTAATAAAATTAATAAAACAAACTTGACATGTTAAAATAAGCAACGATCCAGTATGCAATTTCTTCATCAGTACCCTAGTAGTACTTCTATATCCAAAACGGAAAATTCTAAAGAAGTCTTTTTATAAGTTTATACAGTAGGACTCTTTAAAATGCTTAATTGCGAAGTCAAAGAAAAGGGTTCCTCAAGAGTTCTTGATTAGTTCAATAGGTGGCGCATTCGAAGTCTTAAGAACTTCTTAAAAACTTCTTTCTGATGTTGTATTTGACGTCCAAATCAGAAAATAGAGCTTATGCAGACTTAATTAAGACGTCATATTGCTGTCTGGGATGTTAAAGGTAACATTTATATTGTTTTCTACATGGAATCTTAAATTGATCTATTAATCTATTAAGGTAGTTGTTAATTTAAATTTAATAACATTCCCTATAACCTATAGGCTATAAGGTAACCCTAATAAAATTAAACATAATTAATAATTAATTATTGGTTTTTTAAAGCTCCAAATTTTGTTCTTTTTAATATTTTTTATTTATAAAATGGTTTGATTCCGATGTACTTCGAACCTGAATAATTTGTAAATTTTTAGGCACAAATGAATGAAAACTTCTAGTGGAAGGATTAATTTTTGTTGTTCTATTATTTTAGGTTTTATATAAAAAAAATTATTCCTTTTATATTTTCATTGCAAAACATATCTAAAGGTAATAAAATTTGATCCTTATATGGTCTTTGCAGGCTTGCTTTTGAAACCAATCTCTTAACGGTTCCCCCTATTCCAACACAAGGTCCTTTTCCGTGCGATGTGGCAAAAATGCCACTCTGCCTCCAAATTAGTCATTTTTGTGATATGCCAAATTAATAAAATTATATTTATTTTTATATTGTCCCCACACCCAAGTAAAATATAATATTTTTTTATTTGCGAAAAATTTAATTTTATGAAAAGTGTATTCCTGAAATTTGGGTACTTTTTTATAATTTTGCATTTTATATTTTAATCGATGTTTATAAGTACTTTAATTAAAAATATACACCAAATCAAATTTCCATAGCCTACTACATAATATCAATGGTATAAAAATCACTTTTCAGT